ACACTGCATTCATACACACACTGCATGATATATACACACACTGCATTCATACACACACACTGCATTATATACTCACACACTGCATTCTATACACACACTGCATTCATACACACACACTGCATTATATACACACACTGCATTCATACACACACACTGCATTATATACACACACTGCATTCATACACACACTGCATTCATACACACACACTGCATGAGATATACACACACTGCATTATCTACAGACACTGCATTCATACACACACACACTGCATTCTATACACACACTGCATTCATACACACACACTGCATTCATACACACACTGCATTCATACACACACACTGCATTATATACAGACACTGCATTCATACACACACACTGCATTCATACACACACACTGCATGATATATACACACACTGCATTCATACACACACACTGCATGATATATACACACACTACATTCATACACACACACACACACACTGCATTCATACACACACTGCATGATATATACACACACTGCATTCATACACACACACTGCATTATATACACACACACACTGCATTCTATACACACACTGCATTCATACACACACACTGCATTATATACACACACTGCATTCATACACACACTGCATTCATACACACACACTGCATGATATACACACACACTGCATTCATACACACACACACACACTGCATGATATATACACACACTGCATTCATACACACACACACTGCATTATATACACACACTGCATTCATACACACACTGCATGATATATACACACACTGCATTCATACACACACACTGCATTATATACACACACTACATTCATACACACACACACACACACTGCATTCATACACACACTGCATTATATACACACACACACTGCATTATATACACACACTACATTATATACACACACACACTGCATTATATACACACACTGCATTATATACACACTGCATTCATACACACACACACAGTGCATTTATTATATATTAATATAATTTTTGGGGGATCTAATTTTATTTAGAAATTTACCAGTAGCTGCTGCATTTCCCACCCTAGTCTTATACTGGAGTCAATACGTTTTCCCAGTTTTCTAAATAAGATCCATTTATTATAAGAAAGATTCCGAGGAAGTATTGGTGATTATAGGCAATCCATAGCCCCCATACTTACACTAATCAGTAATAGCAACTATTGATCCACATACCTGAGGCGGGAAACCCAACATTAAATCGCCAGTATAGAAGCAGATTAGCTACTGCTGGCCTGTGTTACAAACTAACCGTCTAATCTGCTTAACCCCTTAAGGACACATGACGTGTGTGACATGTCATGATTCCCTTTTATTCCAGAAGTTTGGTCCTTAATGGGTTTACTAGAGGCCTCCTTATGCACCCCATGTGCCATTGTCGTCTCCCCCAGGAGAGAGGTTAGGTCAGACCCCCGGTCACTATAAGAGGTATACCCAGGGAGTCACAATGTGTAGCTGCTGTTTACCGGGTCCGGCTGGGACAAGAGACCGAACCCTGGTCGAACCTTCAAAATATTGGCCAGATGATCATCGAATACAATTTAGGAAGTTAAAGCAGGCTGCTTCCTAACTGCTGGAGGAGAGGGGGGAAAAGGACGTCTTCAGAAGGAGGGGATGTATTAGGATTTATTAATTGATACGTCCTGTCCTGACTGCTCAGGGGGCATTTAACCCATTAGTGATTCTGCCATGTTGGCCAGTAAAGTCTTCTATGAATAAAACTACTTGTGAAAAACTAAATAAAATATTCCTTGTATGTACGTAGTGGGGAATCGCGATGCAGCCTAGAACAAATCTAGCCCCATTAAACCCCCCAATAACGACAAACAACTTAGTATGGATGAACAGGCCACAGCATTTATTATAACATAAATAAATTACTGCATAACACATCCATAACTTTTTATTAAATCTCTTCTTTCTGTAACGAAATAAATAATCATAAATTAACATATAAACATATTACTCAACACAGTGTTATAGAGAGACCCAACCGTCCTTGCCAATAAACATACAGTGGCTCCTAACCACCACTTCCTCTCACCTCCCCCCTCGTCATAAAAAATCCTTCCAATGCCCGCCATCAGCCGACCTTATCCACGCTCGATGGGCACGACACCTTAGGCAACCTAATGTTAACCGTTTGAAGCAGGGGAGGTTGAGACCTGCAAACATAATGAACTTACTCCATCCTTAAACATAACCCTTCAAACTTAATTGGCAAGGACATACCCCTGCCTCACTGTGACTAACTAATCCTACAAGTGGTGGGTGGGCGGGAAGCTGTTTGCTGGCCCGAATCCCAAGTGGCACTGAGGTAAGACCTCCCCCACGCTAACTTGTATTGAACCTAACCCCTCCCACACACATTACCCAAGTCACTCCCTTGCATCTATCCCCACACTCCTACATGTGCCCTTGTCCGCTTAGCTGCGCTATCTCCCCCGGGTCTGGATGGTGAATATGTCTGTATGATAGAGGAATCCCTTGTTAGGAGGCCAGCAGTTAGGGAGAGTCTCCCAGTGAATTATACAATGCTTGTATCAATATCTATCAGATTATAGCTGAGTAATTATAATATGACAGTCCAGACTGAATGCCTCCGGCTCCGGGTGAAGGCTTCTGACTGTATTATTTCAATGTAAAATGATTAGTTTCAGTTTTAACATGTACTAGTCGTTACGAGGAACGAACAATCCTTATAAACATACATGTACGTGTTGATCATTCACACACACCCTGGATATCGAGGGCAAAGAAAAAATATATAATTATCGCTTGAAAAGAAAATACTGATTGGAAATATTTATGTTAATAAATAATAAAAAATGATTGTAGAGTTCCAGTTATTGCATTTCTTCCCGGCCTTCCATAACAAGACAATAAAAAGACTTAGAAAATATCTAAAAGTATTGAAATGTTTCCAGGTCAGTAGCAATGGTGGCACTTACCATTTTATGATGAAGGAAAGGGAAATGCGACCATGGGTCACGTAACTGGGGTGTGCATAGATTGCAAGCTTATTGACCAGGGCCTTCTTCACCTCTGTTACATTCTGTATCAATTACTTGTCAAATATCGCCTTTTAGAATTGTACAGCACTGCAGAATATGTTGGCGCTGTATAAAAGCTAATAATTATAATATTGGTAGCATTGGCACCAGTAGAGCCTGGATGTCTATTGACAAGCAGGGGCCACTTTCCTGGAGCACCTGGGGAATTTATTGGCAAGCAGTGGCCACCATACTGAAGTTCCCGGTCTCTTATTTGCAACCTGGTGTTCTTAGGTAATTATCGTAAGCAAGGGGCCATTTTCCGAGGATGCCTGGCTGTTTATTGCTGAGCAGGGCCAACTTTCAGGGGTGTCTGTTGGTGAGAAGGGGCTGTTTTCTTAGGGAAATGCCAGGCTGCCTGGGTGCCAGTTTCTTAGGGAAATGCCAGGCTGCCTGGGTGCCAGTTTCTTAGGGAAATGCCAGGCTGCCTGGGTGCCAGTTTCTTAGAGAAATGACTTTGAAATCTGAAAGAAAATACAAACCAAAACTGTAAGAAACATACAAAACTATTTGCCCGAATACTAGTTAGGGAACAGGCATTCATGGGCAAATGGTGTTTTAAAGGTCAAAGCGTTCTCCATGAACAAGAAACAATGATAGGTCAGAAGACGAGGTGGAACTGGGCAGCAAACAGCCTAAAATGTGAGCACCCCTCTCTCTTCACAGATACTGGAAAATGTAAAAAGAACAGGGGAGTAGCGGTGCCAAAAAAGTACTAAAATAATGACAAGCAGTATACAGCCAAATAAGATAACTTGTGGGTATACGTACCACCTTGCATACCTAACAATGAGAGTACACGTACACACCGTCCTTTAATGAAGAGCTTGACATATTGTCTCCACCGTTCTCTTTGCAAAAAGTATTTTTAATTTACAGTGCTACTTATTGTAACATGAAATGACAACAGAAGGGAAACCGGTAGTGTAATACAGTGTAGTGTATAAAGAAGGCTGTATTGTACTTTTTTTAAAACCCTTTTTTTAGAATGCTCTTTGGGCAAGGCTCTCTTCCCTTACTGTTCTCATATGTCAAATATGTTTTGCTGGAATAGTTTGTCTTGTTTACCTGTTGTACAGCGCTGCAAAATATGTCGTCTCTATATAAATAATTGTAGTTGTACTACCCTCGATGCAAACTGTGCAACCTGGCAGAATATGAGAGATTCTAATAATAAAGGATATTATCAGCGATTAGGATAATGACAATGATGTAATGTCACAGGTTTTGGGGTTGTTTATTTAAAGTCTTGTTGAGACTGAAACAATAGGCTTTAACCATGTGTTTTCCGGAGCCTGGCGGTTCGGCTCTGGCTGATGACAATGAGAGCGGAGAAATATATTCTATTGAAGGATGATGAGACGTGCTTTGTTGCATGGCAACTATATACGAGGGTCTGTCTCGCTTCGCTGTTTCCACGTGTCTCTCACTATAAAGCAGAAGTGAAGAATTATCAGTCACCTCTCTCTCTGTCTGGGGGGAGAGACGCAGCTCCGGATCTGTGAGCACTCTGTGATTTCCAAGATAAAGGAGCAATTACAATTATTTATAGAGTGCCAACATAGTCTGCAGCGCTGAATATGGACAGAAGCATCGCAACTCAAGGTGACAGAGTCCTGTGGGATCAGCAGCGGTGGGAGTTATTTAGCTGTGCGTCCATGCAGATTTGGTGATGGTTTTTATTTGTTAAGACTTATTGTGGTTCTCAAAGTATAAAGCACGAACAGTTTGGCCGGATATCCCTGTGAAAATGGATCGTTCGCTGTCGAGCTAACTTTACACATTTATTTATTCCTTGTAGAAACATATCATTAGTCCTGATTTCTCGCCAGTCAGTACTGAGCTGACCTAGAGGTAGTGTGAGTTTATTTTTCCCGGTGAATGCCGATTGATCGTTGATGGCTCTGGCTAACGAAATGCTGGACGAGTCATGGGAGGCTTTGAACCTCAGTGTGCTGGGAAACTGGAGTCAGACTAACGAGTCCCTAAACAGGACAGAAACCGGACCCCCACCTTTCCTGACCGACGCCTGGCTTGTACCCCTGTTTTTTGCCCTCATCATGCTCGTGGGGCTGATTGGAAATTCTCTGGTTATATATGTTATCTCAAAGCACAGACAAATGAGGACTGCCACCAACTTTTACATAGGTAAGCATGGACCTCCACTTGTCCTCAGTCATTAAAGGGCTTTATTTAGGAAGCATTTAAATGTGTATATATATATATTTGTATAATTTATTTTTTTTAAATAAAAGTGCTATTTTACCTACATTTTTGCAATTTGATTGTCAGTACATCACAACTCACTCTGTTCTGTCAAAGACCTAACACATAATACAATGTACATTATCACATTATTAGCTGTCCAAACATTGGACGTTCTAAGAATGAATACAGTTATGGCTACTAACATTATTATCCAGTAAAAAAACAACTTTATAAATTAAACTACGCAGTAACAAAATAAATAAACAAACAAAAAAATATTTATTCATCTGAATCCTCAATGTATGTTATTTATTTTATTTCAAGAACCGTCCATCTGTCAGTCTGTCTGTTTGTCTTCCTTCCTGTCTATATATTAGTGGAGTTGTATAGGTAGATAAATTCTGAGTTTAAATTACACCCCCCCCCCCCGTCACAATATTTAGAGCCAATATGTCTTTTTTACATCGGACACTAAACAATTGGCATTAAATATCAAATATGTCTGAATTAACCATCCGGGTTAACAAACCATGACTAGTTTTGGTTCTAACTAACCCAAGTGATACTAGAATCTTTTCAGTTCTAACTAACCCTGGTGGGTCCTATCTGAATAGCTATTAAACTGATCTGGGTGATTCCTCTTGGACTAGTTATTCCTACCATACTAGTTATAATTGTAAATGGCAAATCCTACCAGACTAGCTGTTGGTCCAACTAACCGGATGATTCCTTTCAGACTAGCAGTTGGACTAGATAACCCTTTAGATTCTGAACAGACTAGTTTTGCTCCTAACTAACCTGGTGATTTATTTCAGACTGGCTTTATATATAACAGACTTTGTTGATTCCTACCAGACTAGTTTGGCTTTAACTAGCTGTGATTCTAACTAACTCTGGCAATTCCTACTAAACTAGCTGTTGGTCTAACTAACCCTGTAATTATTAGCATACCAGGTTTGGTTTTAATTAACTCAGTGGATAATTACCATACTAATTGTGGTTATATTAACCATGGTGATTTCTACCAGGCTAGTTTGCTTGATTTCACTTTTTGCAAGAAGTATAAACTTTATTTCAATTCTTTTTTACCATAATATTCCCAAAACAGGAATGAGTTTCTCATTGTTATTAAGTATCTTTTACCATTGAGCTGTGTTGCTGTCATGGTGGGGGCTGTATATCAGCCATGGTGGAGACTATATTGCTGTCATGGTGGACTGTGTGTTTGTTGTAATGGTGAGCTTGTATTGCTGTCATGTTGGGGGCTGTATTGCTGTCACGATGGAGGTTCTATTGCTGTCATGATGGGGGTGCGGCGGTAATGCTATCATGGTGGACTGTTTATGTGTTTGTAATGGTGAGCTTGTATTGCTGTCATGGTGGTGGTGGCGGGGCTATATGGCTGAATGGTGGAGGTATATTGCTGCCATGGTGGGGCTGTATCACTGCCATGGTGGAGGTATATTGCTGCCATGGTGGGGCTATATGGCTGTATGGTGGAGGTATATTGCCACCATAGTGGGGTGTGTATTGCTGCCATGGTGGAGGTATATTTCTGCCATGGTGGGGTTGTATTGCTGCCATGGTGGAGGTATTTTTGCTGCCATGGTAGGGGCTGTATTGCTGCCCTGGTGGAGGTATATTGCTGCCATGGTGGGACTATATGGCTGCCATGGTGGAGGTATATTGCTGCCATGGTGGGGCTATATGGCTGTGTGGCGGAACCAACCTCACCACTGTCCACTGGAGAAGCCTGGTTGCTCGCCTGCTCCCTTTAGACTATGGCCCAGCATTTAAAACCTTTTATTTTCCCTGCAGAAAGGCATATTCATGCCTTTTTTTGCCGGGGTGTTCAGTAGATTCAATCTACCGAACAAAGTACCGAACGATCGACCACCTGGGAACTGGAGTGTGCCATCAATTGATGGTTAACCGCAGCTTAATTAACGAATGCTGGGTGGCCTTTGTTTGTTTGCTGAACACGTGGCAGTGGCCATTTTAACTCCCGAGCGGCCAGCGGTGTTCAGGGCCCAAACTATGGAACTGGAAATGGCCACTTATTTGCGCGAACACCGCTGAGCCACCAGCCTCCTTACCTCTGCATTCGGTAGTGGAACCGAATGACTGTTCATTCGGTAGTTTAACCGTATGAACAGCATCACCCCAGATAGCTATGGAGCCTATTCGTGTAATGTGTATGTTCTATGTGATAAAAGTAACAGTATGTATTTTTATGACTTTTATTGTCCTTTGTCTGCCATGTGGTTAATGGAGTTTTGCCTCTGTCCTTGGAGATAATTGGATTACTTCCCAATTATCTCCAGGCCAGAGGGGAGGGATTGTGATGCATTGTGGGATTGTAAGCTTGTGATTGGTCAATTTCCAATATGTTTCCCAGTCTTCCATCTGATCCCCTAGGGGAGTGTCCACCAGGTGGGAGACCTGCATAAAAGCAGGTAGCCCCAGTAAATCAGTTCTGCTTGATCCTCAAACGAAGTGTCTTCTCGTTCTTGGGGGGAATTGGATTGTATGCTGTTACAGTGCGACTGCCAGGAGTGTAAACTGTTCGTATAGTTTTTCCCGTTCCGGAGTTTGGAGCATTCCCCTGGTTCCAGTTCAGGAGATTGGTGAATTCATGTGTTTGAGGTTCGGGAGATTGGTGAATTCATGTGTTTGCAGTTTCGGGAGATTGGTGATTGCAGTAGCTGCCCGTGCATCTGGAAAGGGGAATATCGCCTAAACGGTTTTTAACCACTTGTGTGCAGAACGGTCCGTTACAGGCTGCCATGGTGAGGTTATAATGCTGTAGTAGTGGGATGTATTGCTGCCATGGTGAGGTTATATTGCTGTAGTAGTGGGATGTATTGCTGCCATGGTGAGGTTATATTGCTGTAGTAGTGGGATGTATTGCTGCCATGGTGAGGTTATATTGCTGTAGTAGTGGGGTGTATTGCTGCCATGGTGAGGTTATATTGCTGTAGTAGTGGGATGTATTGCTGCCATGGTGAGGTTATATTGCTGTAGTAGTGGGGTGTATTGCTGCCATGGTGAGGTTATATTGCTGTAGTAGTGGGATGTATTGCTGCCATGGTGAGGTTATATTGCTGTAGTAGTGGGATGTATTGCTGCCATGGTGAGGTTATATTGCTGTAGTAGTGGGATGTATTGCTGCCATGGTGAGGTTATATTGCTGTAGTAGTGGGATGTATTGCTGCCATGGTGAGGTTATAATGCTGTAGTAGTGGGATGTATTGCTGCCATGGTGAGGTTATAATGCTGTAGTAGTGGGATGTAATGCTGCCATGGTGAGGTTATATTGCTGTAGTAGTGGGATGTGTTGCTGCCATGGTGAGGTTATAATGCTGTAGTAGTGGGATGTATTGCTGCCATGGTGAGGTTATAATGCTGTAGTAGTGGGATGTATTGCTGCCATGGTGAGGTTATAATGCTGTAGTAGTGGGATGTATTGCTGCCATGGTGAGGTTATAATGCTGTAGTAGTGGGATGTATTGCTGCCAGGGTGCGGTTATAATGCTGTAGTAGTGCGATGTAATGCTGCCATGGTGAGGTTATATTGCTGTAGTAGTGGGATGTAATGCCGCCATGGTGAGGTTATAATGCTGTAGTAGTGGGATGTATTGCTGCCATGGTGAGGTTATATTGCTGTAGTAGTGGGATGTATTGCATGGAGCAGTAGATCGGTAATGTGTTGTACATAAGTCCCACATGAAGCCAGGGTTGACGTATTAAAGACTGTGCAGCGTGTGTGGGCAGACATTAAAATATGGAAAATTTGTACAAATTTCTGAGTGGGAACATACAAAATGGAATACATGGAACTGTCAGCAGGATACTTTATGTAATATTTTTTGGGTTTTTTTCATGGAAAAACTTTTGTTTTTAGTATAATGTACAAATGCACACATCATACTTCACATAGTTTTAATATATTCTCCAAAAATGGCTCAAAGTAACATAAACAGTAACTGTGTAATTTACTGAACTGACAGTGATTAATAAAACTTAGCTTGTGGACATGAGAAATGAACACTTTCTATATCTTGGTGTCAGATCTGTTTAATATTTATTTCAGCATTTTTATTGCAACAAATGAAAGAATCAAACGTTAAAATGGGGGGCCGGAGGTGGCATAGATTGCAACTACTAATTTAATTTGCCACAAACTATCCTACAGGAAAGCAGGATTTCGCATTGAATCCTTTACATAATGAAGTTTTTGTGCTTTTCTTGTCCAGTTTCAATATAAACGGCGTAGATTTTGTTATAACATATATATATATATATATATATATATATTTGTGTTAAGGGCTCATGATAGTACAGAAGATACAAACACTGATAAGTATGGGATAGTGTGAAAGAGCAAGTCGGTTGTGGTGTGCCGGAACCGACGATGAGGTAGGCCTGTAAATAAAGAGGGCCCACCAATAAGAAATGTATGAGAAAAAGGAGTTCATAAAAAGGAGTGGGTGGGAGGGTGATGCAGCGCTGACCTCGAACGGTATGGAGCCAGGTAAGGGGTGTCCCTTAAGTAGGGAGAAGGTGAGTCATACGCCCCTCCCACAATTACAGGCCAAAAGGCCTTAATACTTGTGTTAAGGGCTCATGATAGTACAGAAGATACAAACACTGATAAGTATGGGATAGTGTGAAAGAGCAAGTCGGTTGTGGTGTGCCGGAACCGACGATGAGGTAGGCCTGTAAATAAAGAGGGCAAAAAGTAGAAAATATACTTTATTACGAAACGAGCAGTATACATACTTCAACCAGACATATCTTGAAAGGCATTTCTAACTTCTTGTACCGGGTTAGGTATGTATCTAGAGTATGCAGAAGACTTCCAGCGCCCTAGTGACTTGATAACATGTACTGGAATGTTTGCACTGGACGCTGTGGAGGCCGCCCCTATGCGGAAGGAGTGGCCCGAATAGTTAGCTGATTTTAGGCCTAGTTGTGTAAGTAGGGACCTGACGTGGGTCATGAAGGTGGTGGTAGTGAGTACCGAACCTTGTAGACAGAAAAGTGGTTGAGATGGTGATGCTTTGAAATGCTGAGTATAGGTGTCCAGTAATGTGACGGGGCACCACACGTTGTGGGTAGGATAGTATCTAACCTCTACCGGGGGTGCGTGTTGATTGGTTTTGGAGTGATGCAGAGTTAAAATATAGTAATCCATGTGTTTCGTTAAGTGTGAATGAAGCAGAATGTGAGTGGACTGGGATGTGTTGATGGCGGTAAATTCTCTTGGTCTCAAGAAACCATAAAAAGCTACGTATATGGCGGTTTTTATAACAAGGTTTGTGTTGTTCGCAAAGGGTTTTGAATCTAGTAGGCTGGATAAATCCTTGAAGATATTGAAGTCTATAGGTAGCCTTTGCGCGGTACGTGGGGGTTCGGATCTCTGGATACCTCTAAGGATGTTTTTATCTGGTAGGAGGACATGAAACTTGTGTTGTTTGGTTGTAATGTTAGCATGTGATGTTGTATGCCTGTTAGATATAGCTTGATTGTGTTGTAAGATAATTTAAGTTTGAGGTGGCAAAAAGAAGCAAAACCTAACAAAGATGTCATGATGAAAGGTTGTGTGACGTTGTGCAGTGACAGGAATCTTTTAAATAGAAGGAAAGCCCTGTCATATGTTCTCCGGGTATTGGTGGACAGTGCTAATTGTGCCAATGTCCTGCTATGTTGCATAATAGCTTCTAGTCCATGACTAGCTGGTGGAAAGGTGGAGTGGTCGTGGCTGTACGTGCGGCTGACGGAAGTATTTGCCGAAAAGCCTGAAAATTGAAACGAGACAAACTGTCAGCAGCCGTGTTACAAACACCTGGGACATGGACACAAAACAAGAAGAAGTTATGGCATGCAGCCAGCCAGGTGAGTTTCCTCAAGAACCTCATAATGGTCAGTGACTTGGATCGGCCTTTGTTTATGATGTGGCAGGTAGCTTGGTTGTCTGAGTGGCAACGTACTGACGAACCTGCCCATAGATGCCCCCATGTCACGGCAGCTGCTACAATGGGATACATCTCAAATAGAGCTGAGGTAGTGGAAAACCCTTCCAGGTCCTGTACCTCTGGAGGCCAGCTACCCCAAAGCCATTCATTCCCGTAAATTGCTGCAAAACCTGTGGTAGCCGCCGCGTCTGACCAGATGGTAGGTGAGGAGTCAGACAATTTAGGGAGAAACATGCTTTTCCCATTCCAGGTGGTCAAAAAGTTTCTCCACATAAGTAGGTCTGCCGTGGCTTGGGTATCCAGTGGTAACCTGTGTGCATCATGTCTAAACAGTGGGAACATGGTTAGGAGCCGTGAGATGAAAGCCCGGCCTTGAGGTATAATGCGCATGGCAAAGTTCAGTGACCCAAGTAGAGACTGCAATTCTTTGCGATTGCAAGTACCGAGGTGTATGTAGAGGTTAATGTTGGTGAGAATGTTCTCTATCTTGGTGCGTGGCAGGCTGGCTTGCATGGTGGCTGAGTCTAGCATGATTCCCAGAAAGGTGATGACTGTATCTGGTCCTTCAGTTTTGGTGGGGGAGACTGGAACACCCACCTGTTTGAAAAGACTGATGGTTGCTATGAGGCTACTGGGAGGGGAAGTGTTCTCTTCGATCAGTAAGAAATCATCCAGGTAGTGTATAACTGTAGGGCATCTGGCTACATTTAATAATAACCAGCATAATGTTTCGGCGAATACGTCGAAAATGGCCGGACTACTTTTTGAACCAAACGTTAGGCGTGAGAAAAAGTAGTAGTGCCCGGCCCACTTAATGCCATGCAGGTGCCATAGTGTAGGGTGGATAGGCAATAATTTGAAGGCATTTGTAATGTCAGTCTTGCTGAGCCATGCTCCGACCCCTGCCTGCATGATAGCTGTAATGGCGTGATCTATGGTGGAGTATTGAAGTGAAAATTCCTCAGAGGGGATAAGGGAGTTCAGACTAGGTGAGGCAGAGGTGTGAGGTGCAGACAGATCGATGATAAGTCTTTGTTTGTGGGAAGATTTCCCTGTGACAATACCGATGGGGTTTGTCCGCCATGTGGAAAAAGGAGGGGACTGAAAGGGTCCCAATAGGAAGCCCTCTGCCACTTCTTTGGCTATGAGTGTGCTAACCGCTGTAGGGTTTTGTTGTGCAGATTGTAAATTAGGACATTCAAGGATTCCTGAAGGCATGTGTATGAGACCAGTATGGAATCCTTGTGATAGACCAGTGATGATGAAGTCTACCAAATGTCTAGATGGATGTCGTGACAGTAATGCCGTGAGTACAGAAATATTTATCTCAGTTAAGTATTGCTTAGGGTACATTTTATTTGGACACATGGTTTTCGCATGTGCCCTAAAACATTTTGAACATATATGCAATAACCGACAACCGCTGTAATTACATGCACCGACATTGAAATTATTACATATTTGGGACTTCCCCAAAAACTTGATAGGTCGACCCAGTTTGTCTTTGGGTGTTCTCTCTGCTGACACAGCGGAGCTAGTGCCCTGCGAGGTGGTAGGTTCGTTCGCAGTGGTCGGACAAAAATTGGCAGTATGAGCCATGGAGGAGCAGTGTGCACAGGCCGGTGCTCTTAGACCTGCAAAGTGCCTGCAAAAAATGATCGTATCAATCTTACTCCAGTTGGACCTTGTCCCGTACTGTGAGAAGGCGCCAGACACTTTGGCAGAAAAAGATCTATGGTAGTCATAGAAAGCTGACCCACCATATTTGTTGCCCAGATCAACCAGCCTGTGCATATATAAGTCAAACTCCTCACGTCTGTGGGGATATACCGTACAGACCACATCCCGATAAATGCCAAAAGCTAATACAAATTCAGGAATGGTTAGCTTCCTATTTAATCGTGCATCCCTGGATTTGACCACCACAGAAATATCGTCATAAGCGTAGGTCTTATGTTCCACTATATCCTGGGAGGCAATTAGTAGTGAGGCCAGATTGACATCTTTACCTTCCAGGATATCTCTCCTGAGGTGCTCAGGAATCATGTGGGCAGGGTAAACTTCTTGGTCATCCGAGGTGATAGCTGGAGAAACTGATTGCGACTCCACCACTGATGGGGGAATTGCCGTGGCCGGTCCAGCCATAGTGAGGGCTGTAGTGACCGATTCAAGTTTCTCCAGCCTAGAATTGACCTTGCTCATGGATGTCATGAGGGACGTGAGCATGTCATGTATGTTCCCTGGGTGGGACTGGCTCGACCCTTCCCCAGCGTCCATGTTATCAGTTGAGGTGTGTAATAATTTGTAAAGTTCCGCTTTCCTTGCTGTTGCTGGAAAAGGGATTTGTCGTCTCCTGAGTTCGCTAGTGATACGAGGGATAGTCCATGATCTGAAAGATGCTGGACTAGCCGTATCTTCCTCCTGTGATGGGGTGTTGGTTCTAGCCGGAGTCCTTGGGATGGAGAAATCCTCTACCCCTTCTTGAGACATACTAGATTACAAAAGTATATGGTTAGCATAAAACCCCCCGAGGGGATGTACTGGCAGGCTAATTATGCCGGATAGGCGAAAAATTAAAACTTGTTCTTTGGTGACAGGTGAGGCCCTGCTAGTTGCCAAGTGGCTATGAGAGGCTCTATCTATGCGTTGGCGCGAGGGGTTATTGAGGCCACCCGACGTAGTGGCAGGAAATCGTAGGCCTCTCGGTGACAATACAAGAAAACAGGGGAAGGGAGTGACAGGTGGCACCCTCTCTATAATGCGAGGCGGCTAACTCACGTGTGGCCCGGGGGGCATTACCTCCGAAACGTTGAGGCGGGGTGTTGGCCTCGCGGACCACTAAACGATAGGCAGAATGCCCGGAGGGGGGATACCTATTTGGGCCTATAACCCCTAAAATTGCCAGTACTCTATGTCCTAAGTAGAGGAGGAACCATATGTGATGTATGGCGTGAGCAGGCTTAACGTACCTGGTAGTATGTATGCGTTTGATAAGCGATAGGTAGAGAAAACTGGAAAAATCCTAAAGGGATAGAAAAACCAAATATGATAGTGTGAGAATTGGATCCTATGATACCAATTTAGACTAGTTATATGTGATGAGTTCTAGTAGTACATATGGAAAGGGAATACATGAATGATATTGGCCCGACTGGCCCTGTATGTGGTATGGTAATCATGCTTGGGGGTGTGTATGATATGTCTCTGGTGACCAGATTAATGCGTATGATATAGTAATGCTGGTGTTTGTGGTATAATAAGGTGCAGGATTTAAAACAATACCGTATATGTTAGGCCGTAAACGTAAGCCATGAAAAGAGGTAAGTACGAGGTACAGAAATATTTGAGAAGTTATCCCAAAATTGGAAACAAAGTGACGTATGAGTGGTTGAATCAAGACGTGTGATTCAACCCGAGAGTTTGTGAGATTTGTGAGACCGTGTTCTTGTGTACTTGGTATGTCGTTTGAGTACACAAAGAAAAAGTCAGAATATATAAGTGCCATGTAAGAAACGTGAGTACATGGTATGATAGAAACGTAATTTCTAAACATAATTTATAACGTAAATCCTACAAGCGACATCTGTAAAATGTAAAGGCTTGTCTAAGCTTAACTCCATAAATATATGTATATAACATGAAGAATTTCAATAAAACTTTAATAATGCCATATCTGCTAAGATTAAACCATAACCTAAATAAATACTTATTCATAAGTAGTTAACAGGGGTATTGCCCCAGTCATATGCAAGGATTTCGTAATTTGCATAAGCTAAATAACAGTAAATGACATGAAACCAATTATAGCTGATGATATGCAGAACGAATTTGCTTAATACAAAGAAAAACCGAAACCGATATGCCTGCCGGCAGCAAAGGGGTTAATATGCCTGTGACTTGGCCGTAAAGCGTGTGGCCGTAAAGTAAGGCCGTTTTAAATCGCGACGCCGTGGGAAATGATCCGGGCGACGGACTTACGATTTTGAAGTCCTGTGGACTTAATCTGCGACGAAAACACCGGGTATGTGCGTGGCTGAACGGGCGGAAAACCTGTAAGGATTCCTGGACACAGCTACACCAAACGAAAACCGCGGGTTTTTTGAAAAGCAAGATGGCGCCGTACGTGAACCGGAAGTGGATTCTCGATGCAGCGCTGACCTCGAACGGTATGGAGCCAGGTAAGGGGTGTCCCTTAAGTAGGGAGAAGGTGAGTCATACGCCCCTCCCACAATTACAGGCCAAAAGGCCTTAATACATATATATATATATATATATATATATATATATATATATATATATATATATATATATATATAGAAGTAATTAGCACTTGCACTCCAACTCAAAAAAACAATAGTCCCCGGTGCTCTGGTAGCTAAGCAATGTATACAAAAAAATACCGGCACTCCAAGGATTTCCAGAATATTGTATTCTTTATTCTAAATGACATCAACGTTTCAGCTCCCTTACAGAGCTTTCATTAGGATACACATCCTGATATATATATATATATATATCTTTTATTATTGAATAGAATTTGTCCTGCAGGTGGCAATAGGAGAATTGCTTTAAAGTATAATAATTATCGCAGGTAACAGGAGCTGTGTGAATGTTCTGTAAATACCCCGATGTCACCGCTGCCCTCGGGAGGTCCAATTAAATGCTACTCAAAGATTAGATTGCACTATTATCACCGACTCACAGCGCACAGGATAAGTAATAATGCCAGGAAGTGACAGTGAATATGTTCTAGGATTGCTTTATTTCATATTCTTGCCTGACGTATTAACTCTTCCTCCAAGGGGGAACAAAGCGCTGTGTTTTATATAAATATTATAAATGGCTAATATCGTCACTCTGTCTGTGGAGGAGGGCCTCTCAGAGGGACGATATATTTTGGAAGACAACAGCTGGAAAGATGCTAAACAATGGGGACATTTAGCAATGTGCTGCCAGCAGAAAAAGTAGGACAAAGTCTTAAAAGTGAAGAAAACCCATTGAATTGGTTTCCATGGCTATTGCTTCTTACGTTTTTTGTTGTCAGATTTCCCCCTGATAATTTTCTGAAGTGGAGAAGCTTGTTTGGATACTGTACAGATTACTCATTGTCTTGTGGTAGCAGAGAATCCAGACTGTGAGTGATGGGAGAGAGGGACTGCACCCAAACACTGCATGTACCATAACCACTACAGCAAGCTGTACTGATACAATAAAATAATACAATGAGCTGTAATGATACAATAAGCTGTAATGATACAATAAGCTGTAATAATACAATAAAATGTAATAATACAATGAGCTGTAATAAAACAATGACCTGTAATAATACAATAATATGTAATAATACAATGAGCTGTAATGATACAATAAGCTGTAATGATACAATAAGCTGTAATAATACAATGACCTGTAATAATACAATACACTGTAATGATACAATGAGGTGTAATAATACAATAATATGTAATAATACAATGAGCTGTAATGATACAATGAGCTGTAATAATACAATGAGGTGTAATAATACAATGAGCTGTAATAATACAATGAGCCCTAATAATACACTGAGCTGTAATAATACAATGAGCTGTAAGGATACAATGAGTTGTAATGATACAATAAGATGTAATAATACAATGAGCTGTAATAATACGACGAGCTGTAATAATACAATGAGCTGTAATGATACAATGAGCTGTAATAATACAATGAGCTGTAATGATACAATGAGCTGTAATGATACAATGAGCTGTGATATTTATGGAGTTAAGATATTCCTTTCTGTTACTCTGCACAGCTCGTTTCCCTTGTTTGGTCACTTTATGAAGAAGATATTTAACTCCTGCCCTGCGACTAGTTGTGCTTGATGTAGGTGGTCACTGACAGAGGGAAATGCTGAGAGTGAAAACTTGTATTTTATTTTCATGTAAAGAGCAGCATTGTTAGTGCTCGTTGAGTGAAAAGTGTCCATCTTGCCTTTTAATTATTAAAATATAAACATTTAATTTGCTGGCTAAGTGTGTGCTATCTGCTCCTGTAAAGAGACAGTTAAGGATTTCACAAGCTGTTATATTTGTCACCAGTAGATGGCACTCTAGTCTAACATACAGCACCACGTTAACACATTGCTTGGCAAAGCACAGGACACCTTGGGACTCACATGGTTAATGTAAAAACAAACTTTTTATCCTCGAAGGAACTCCCGTGAATAAGATCCCACGATTTAAATTGTGAGCTCCTGTGGCTAATTTTCATATATAAACCGAGCTTTAAGATCCTTATTTGCAATGCAGTAAGGGCAAAAATAAAGAGGAATTGGAACTTGATGTTAAAAACGTATTACTACATTTTTCCTAACTTTGCATTAATAGTAATTTACTAATCAAATAACAAAACAATATTACATTTCGTAACTGTACAAATATATCATATTAAATAATATACTGCAATGTGTTTTTTGCACACACTGTTTCAGTTATTTTCATAACAACTTAGCAGATATACCTCCAACAAAAACATACATTCATTTAATTATGTATTTTTTATTGGGTATATCTAAAAACAGCTTGCAGAGGCTGCAAATCTCTTTCTGCTTCTTTTGCAAACCCTCCCCTTCTAACCCCACCCAGACTTTCTGTGGCTGTCCAATCACAGACTTCCCAATGCAGCTCAATGAGAAGTCTTTGCAAGGCAGGTGCTCTGGGCAATTGCTGCCTCTTGAGTTTAGCTCCACTGAGATAACCAAACCAGGAAGTAACAGGACCAGCTGTCTGATTTACAGCAAGGGAGGTGTAACCAGGTTCATTTATAAAACTGCCAATTTCTTCTGAAATCTTTACTTCTGTAAAATGAAACAGAGGACACACCTTTTACACATAGGGCCTTTCAGTAAGCTAAAGTGATTTGTGTGTGCAGTTTCCTTTTAACTGTTTAACAAATAGTTCAATGATTTTTCTTATTTTTGGTAGTCAAAACACTCATTTATTATTGTCACAGATTTGCTTTGTATCTGGTTATCTGTTCTCTGTCTGTATCTCTATCTGTTTAGTTATCTGTTTAGACCTCTTTAAAGCACCTACTGTCCTATCACCCTGTGGTGTCGTGTGGAATTACTATTTTTGCCACAAAGTAAAAGGGAAGAATCTTTTTGAAAGGAGAGATACTCTCTTTAAAGTAGGTCAGAAAATAGTATAAAAAAACAAACTGTAATTCAGAGAGTCAGCGATTGGACGATGGAGAATTGTAAAATTACTGGCAGCTGCGACTTTGTTAATCACACTTCGGCCACTGATGGTCCATCGTGGCTACTGCTAGAACTGGTACCAGAATCGGAATATTAACGGAATTCGAGAAGTATCTTGCAGCAATGTAGGTGAGATAGAGGAGGTGGATATAATCTCCTTCTCTGCTGGATTCTGCATTTCATTCTAACCTGCGCAAGATGATTTATATCTCACCCCAGGTTGCTATTTAGTGAATATACCCCAGTGATTATAAATTCGATTATCTCACGCTTATCGATATTGTACTGTTTGATTGACAGCCCTGTCTGCTCTAAATCTGTGCTGAATGGCGAGTTACAAAGTTATTTAATGTACTGGAAGGATCTTAGCAGAAAGCTGTTGCATGTAAGAGTAACATGGCTGGACTGAGAAGGACCCACCATTTAAGCCGTAATAGCAGAGTTGGATAAAATGGCTAATGTTTTTATTTTGTATTATTATTTAATTATTATTATTTTTTGACTTTTTTGAATGTGATGGCTGGTTAGCAAGCCCTTGAAGCGCCAAGCATTTTTAACTATTTACCTGCTGTCTGCTAGTGCTGACAATGAGCAGATAGTTCAGATTTCTAATTTGCATAATTTGGACATTGTTGAATATATTGAATAATTCCCAGATTTTGCGGTCCCTGTGCGCAGCTGGATGGTTTTGCCCCAATCGGTTTAGGGCCTTTCTGACTTTAGCAGAAAATCTGCTTCTGAATTGTGAAATACGATGAGCTGGATGGATTTTAGCAGAAATCCATTTAATGATTTAAAGATTAACAAGGCTGGACGGCCTAGTACCCATCATTTAATCCATAATAGTTGCATTGGATAAAATGTCTGGCTTAGTTTGGTGTGAAATGTGCAATCTCATTGCCGCACAACTTTTCTGCATAACAGATATCATATCCCCTCTGAGACATCTTTTCCCTAAAGTAGACAAGTGCAACTTTTCTTGATTTTCTTCATAACTAAGATCTAAATGTCCAGGACTCTCTTCGCACATATAATGACACCGATAAACGACCTGCAGGAATCGAGCTGTTTGTTGGACGGTAACTCCTACTAACCTTTTACCTGGTTCTGAGTAATGGGAGTTGTAAGACAGCGAGCTGTTTGCCCCTCACAACCCTTTCTCCTTCGTTAGTGTGGGTGCTCCGGATGCCGTTATAACCATGTAATGCTAGACCAGCTCTCCTATTCCTGCTGTTATACCGCATCACGTGGCATTGACGTCAGAACCGTTATTGCAGCCGAGCTGTCCGAGAGAAGATGCCTGTGACATCTTATCATTCCACTGATACATGGATTCTTGTATGGAAAGAACACGACCGTTATTACTGTCATTATTTACCTGGGACCCACATCCCGCTACATTGTAACATCTAACGAGCTGGACTATCTTTAATTACATGATTCACCCCTTTATCTGTCAGTCTGTGTATAAAACAATCATTATATGGCAAACAGTAGGTTTACAGTGATATAAAAGCAGATATTATTATAGCTCTCTGTCTGCCTCTCGGTCTTTCTTTGTTAGTGTTTTTTTTTCTCTCTTTGTCAATCTCTGTCTATATCTCTGTCTGTCTGTCTCTTTTTGCCTCTCTCTGTTTTTTCACTCTCTCTCTTTACCTGTTGGTCTCTCTCTGTTTTTTCACTCTCTCTCTTTACCTGTTGGCCTCTCTCTGTTTTTTCACTCTCTCTCTTTACCTGTTGGTCTCTCTCTGTTTTTCACTCTCTCTTTTTACCTGTTGGTCTCGCTCTGTTTTTTCACTCTCTCGCTTTACCTGTTTGTCTGTGTTTTTCACTCTCTCTCTTTACCTGTTGGTCTCGCTCTGTTTTTTCACTCTCTCTCTTTACCTGTTGGTCTCTCTTTGTTTTTTCACTCTCTTTACCTGTTGGTCTCTCTTTGTTTTTTCACTCTCTCTCTTTACCTGTTGGTCTCTCTTTGTTTTTTCACTCTCTCGCTTTACCTGTTGGTCTCTCTTTGTTTTTTCACTCTCTCGCTTTACCTGTTGGTCTCTCTCTGTTTTTTCACTCTCTCGCTTTACCTGTTGGTCTCTCTCTGTTTTTTCACTCTCTCTCTTTACCTGTTCGTCTCTCTGTGAATGCATAGTAAATGCATAGTGAATGTATAGTGAATGTATAGTGAATGCATATTGAATGTACAGTAAATACATAGTGAATGCAAAGTGAATGCATAGTGAATGCATAGTGAATGTATAATGAATACATAGTGAATACATAGTGAATACATAGTGAATGCCTAGTGAATGCATAATGAATCCATAGTGAATGCATAATGAATGTACAGTGAATGTATAATGAATGCATAGTGAATGCATAATGAATGTATAATGAATCTACAGTGAATGCATAATGAATGTATAGTGAATGCAGAGTGAATGTATAGTGAATGTATAGTGAATGCAGAGTGAATGCAGAGTGAATGCAGAGTGAATGCATAATGAATGCAGAGTGAATGTATGGTGAATGCATGGTGAATGCATGGTGAATGCATGGTGAATGCAGAGTGAATGCATAGTGAATATATAGTGAATGCATAGTGAATATATGTGCACAGTGCACAGGACGCCAACATTGACAAAGCTCGATGGAAACATATTGCTCCATGTTTAGAGACGAGCAGACTAATCTCTCAAATGACTGAAATAAAAGAACTTCCAGTCGATACAGATGGTCTATTTCGTGAAAAGATACCGAAAGTCCACAAGATACAGTGTAACCAGATTTCTAGACCAAGCATTGTCAGTGACGATAATCGATTTTTACCCACAGAAAGATGTAGTTAAGGTAAAATCACCACTGGAGGTCGCTAAATGTGCATTTCAGCTTTAACCCCTTAAGGACACATGACATGTGTGACATGTCATGATTCCCTTTTATTCCAGAGGTTTGGTCCTTAAGGGGTTAAAGGAACACGAAATTCCCTGACTTATTAATACAAATCTAATTTAGTACTAATTACGCATTGCTGTGATGCTTTAGCCTTCACTCATTGACTCTGTAAAGGCACCAGCGGTTATTAGTAAACATTTGTTGAATTAATTAGAATGTATTAATTAATAAAATCCCAACATATTATCTCTGTAATCAATGTATTGATATGTGAGGAAGCTCCCGGCGCAGTATTGGTGATTTTAATAATGATGCATTCTAATTATTGGTTCTTACCCTGAAACGTCTAGTAATTACCATTTTACTCCTATTTGGAGATCGGGCTATTTATCAATGCTGCCATATTGCATAGCGACAGATCACAGAAAATAAACGACCGCTGCGAATCAGAAAGATCTCTTTCAGGAAACGTCCACTGAAAACAGGGAACCTTCAGATAAATGACACAATGGAAAGATAAAAATATAACTGATTAAAAAAAAGGAGAGAAAGTGAAGCGAATATTATATTTGTCTTATTTTTAGAAAAACGTGATTTGTGACTCGTCTCGCCTCTCAGACTGCACAGAATATGCTCACATACTCCATATCCTGGCACAGAGCTGCAAAGAAGGGGTGAAAAGACATTCCCAGAGCGGGGAGCCAGAATAACTCGACAACTTGCAATCACCCAAAAAACAGGAGAAAACTCTGATTGAAAATACTGAAATGCTGAATTATTGCCGGGCCAGCTGAAACCACCTGTATGTATCTATCGTATGTATGTATGTATCTAGCGTATGTATGTATCTTTCGTATGTATGTATGTATCTAGCGTATGCATCTATGTATGTATCTATCGTATGTATGTATGTATCTATCGTATGTATTTTATGCATCTATCTATGTATCTATCGTATGTATGTATCTATCTATCGTATGTATGTATTGTATATATTGTATGTATGTATCTATCTGTGTGTGTGTGTATGTAATGTATGTATGTATTGCATTGTTTGTGTGTGTGTATGTATTGTATGTATAGAGAAGGACATACTGTATGCACTTGCTACATTTTTTAAGGTTAGGTTTAGGGTTTAAGTTTGGGCTGGGATTCAGGTTAGGCCTAAGGTTAGGGCTCGCTTAGCAGAAACCATGTCTCAATTCCTTCACACTATTTAAATCTCAAAATGGAAGATAGAGGGATATATGATGTCATTTCTCGCATGGTGTCAACTTACAGAGAAAGAAAACAGAGACACAGGGCCGGCGCTTCCTATAGGTCAACTTTACTTCGGCTTTACTGCTCTACTCGTTTTGCGACCCCTCTATGTTTGAATAATTATACAAATCATGCCACCGCCCATGTTACCGGGTGCTAAGGAGCTCTTACATGGCTGCTGACTAGCGCCCGATGTAACACTGGTCCAGTGGCATCCACTTCAGCCTGCTCAGCCAGGACCCGCACAATTACTTCCATTGACGCAGCAGTGCAAGGGCACTTCAATTTCTCGCTCCCGCCCCTTACCCTAAACATGGGAACAAGTGGGCGGGAGCATAGCAGGGGCGGGGCTGAGACGGAGTGAAGGTGGCCAGGCACAGGGATGCTGTCAGAAACACATGAAAAACAGTAAAATATGAAAAAAGGTAAGTGGGTCAATGGGACATCACAGTATGTATTTGTGAAGAATTTGTGTTTGTGAATTTCAGTCTGTATGGGTCAGTGATTGCCTGTATGGGTCAGTGTGTGAGTGTATAAGTCAGTGGGTGTCTGTATGTGTGTGCATGGTCAGTGTTTGTCTGCATAGGCGTGCGCAGCCCATTGCATAAGGGTGTGCACCCTAAAGCACAAACACACACGCCGCATATAGTGGAAAATTTATTCATACTTACCGTAATTTTCTTTTCCTGGCTATTATTCATGGCAGCATATACACATGGGTTAGCTCCTCCCCTACAGCCGATAGGACAGGAAAACCACCAAGGTTTTAAAAGGAGGCTCCATCCCTAAGGTCCTCAGTCAGTTTACAAGCTCTACAGTACATAAATAGAGACATTAATGGGAGGGAAGTATATGCTGCCATGAATAATAGCCAGGAAAAGAAAATTACGGTAAGTATGAATAAATTTTCCACTTTCCTGGCTAATCATGGCAGCATATACACATGGGGAATACCCAAGCTTACAAAGGGAGGGACAGAATAGCCAATCAAATTATCAGAATAATTCAACATAGATAGAAGAATGAACTGAGTTAAGTACTTGAGTACCAAATTGTGCATCATAGACTGTTTTAACGAACAGTATGAAATGCCAGACAAACGTGTCTAAAGGAGGTTCAAATGCTAGCTTACAAAAAGTGTCAGCAGAAACCATTGCCATGGCAACCCATGATGCTGCAACAGCATGAGAGGAGAGTGCCCTGATACCCTCCAGCACAGGTAGAGAACGGACGTGACGTCCAAATTGTGCCTCGTTAATTGCTTCAATGTCCAATATGTAATGCAGGACAAACTAGTTCAAAGAGGTCAAAATGCCAACTTTACAAAGTTTCAGCAGAGACCATTGCCATGGAAGCCCACGAGATGCTGTAACAGCACTAGTGGAGAATGCCCCAAATCCTTCGCTACAGGTAGAGAACGGCATTGAAAAGCTCTCACTTTGGGCACGATCACTGGTGCTACGTGCATGACAACCATCTCCTGTTGAAATTCAGTGAATGGGGGTACACAGGATCAAGCCTGGAGTTCACCCATTTCCCTTGCTGGGGTGCCAGCCACCAGCACTGTCTGTGCTACCACCATGGAAGCTCCTTCTAGAGGTTCGAATAATGGTTCAGTCAGGGCCCGTGAGACCAGTGGTACATCATATATTGGCTTCACCACACTCAGTGGAGGCATGATTTCAATCAATGCCTATATGAAGCAAAGTGCAGCAAGTGCACACATTCACCCTGCTGAGGTACCAGTCACTAGCAACAGCAACGTCTGGGCTAACATCATGGAAGCTCTTGCTAGAAGTACAGTCAGAGTCTGTGAGACCAGTGGTACATCACATATTGGTTTCAACACCCTCAGCGGAGGCTTGAGTTCAGTTGTTGCTTACATGAAGCAAAACACCAGGGGCATCAACGCTCAATCGGTACCCTTCAGTACAGGTAGAGAATGACATAGATAAGCATTCACCAAAGGCAGGATCTTCAGGTGCCAAATGCAAGACGATCATATCTGTTGAAAAGTAGTGAAAGGGGGTTCACAGGACCAAGCCTGGAGTTCACCCATTATTCTTGCTGGGGTACCAGCCACCAGCACTTTCTGTGCTACCACCATGGAAGCTCCTTCTAGAGGTTCGAATAATGGTTCAGTCAGGGCTCGTGTGACCATTGGTATGTCACATATTGGCTTCACCACACTCAGTGGAGGCATGATTTCAATCAATGCCTATATGAAGCAAAGTGCAGCTAAGTGTTCCTCTAGAGTGTTATAACACAGAACCTTTCAAGGCCTGAACGAGGAGTAATTCCAACAGACAAAAGCATGTCAAGCTTAGTAAAGCCTGTATAGGATTGTAAGAGGATCTCAATGACCGTCTCAGGGATGCCTATACTAATATGGACTCCCGCATCAACACCAGAACTTGAGGATCCTGGTGTGTCATGGGGCCTTGTAATAGGTCTGGACGTACAGGAATTTCCCTTGGAGGTTCCAGAATCATCTTATTCATCATAGGAATTAGAGTCGACACGGTCTTCCACTGTCACCTCTTGCATTGCCTTTTTAAGAAAGTTGAAAACAGGAAAATATGTACATCATACTAAAATTCTAAATTTGAGCCAGTGTATCCTGAACCTGAGCATTCTGGTCCTAGCATGTAAAAAATACTTCTGGACCTGGTAGTTTCAAGAAATGGCCATCAAACAATCTGCGTCAACCACGAGGATCCGTAAGGACATGGTTGCCAATCCACCTTGGCACAGTTATTCGGCTCCAGCAAACAGCCATGGTATTCTGAGCCACTGGTTGTTCTTCTGTGCCCTGATCATTATGGGCTGGAATTCCATCAATACGTATCTGTGATACCCATCTTGGTAGATATAGGATACAGTTGCATTGAAATTTGAGCAAATTTGGACCCACTCATTCTTCAGCAAGCCTCTGAAGTGAAGAAGAGCCTAGAAAATGACTCTTAATTCCATACAAATGAATGGAAATATTGTGCAACATGGTCCAAACACTGTGCAACCAATCTTATAAAAACTGGAATTCGAGCTAATAATTGACCAATGAGGTTCTGTTCACTGGAAACTCAGAGATCCAATCCCTCTTTCAGCAGCCAGGGTAAGGTGCAACTCCACTGATGAGGACATAGTAAGTGGCTGGCTCCAATAATCTCTCTCTTGTTAGACCAAGATAGGAAGGATCTGTAAGGAATCCAGAGATGCCATTGGGCCCCTCTGACAAGTCTGCTGGTGGAAGCCCGGATTCCTAGTAGTTGCATCTATTTTCTTGCTGTTACCAAGCAGAAATGAAGAAACTGTGAGAGAAAACCTTTAAAATCTGTGGAACTGTTCCCGAGATAGGGAAAAGCAGAGCCTAGAATTTTCAACTCAGGAATGTCAATCACTGAGCTGGTCTGAAACTGCTTTTCTTGATATTCATCAAGCAGCCAAACTTTAGGAGTTATGAAAGAACTATATACCTATGTGTGCCTGCCTTCTGAGGGTCTAAGGCTATCACAAGTAGATCCTCCAGATAATGGAACCAGGTGGAGTTCTGGACTCTCAATAACACTATAAGCACATAGAAAGATTCTTGGGGCCGCATTGAGGCCAAATGGTAGGGCACTAACATGGAAGTTCTCTTCTGAGCTAATGCCGAAGATCTCTGCAGATTGGACTGAAAGTAAGCATCCTTGAGATATATAGAGGTAAGGCAATTATCCTTCCAGATTGCTTGAGATATGGATCTGATTGACTCCATCCTGAAGACTAACATTCAGCCTCTTGTTGGCCTCTCTTAGATCCAGTGTAGGCTTTCATGTGCTTTTCCTCTTAGCACCAGAAGAGAGGTTGAAACTTGTCCCTGGAACTGCTCTTGTTCTGGGACCTAAAAAAAAAATCACCTCTTTGTCAAGAAGGCTTCTTCCTTCAGTGCTTTACCTTTTGATTCATTGGTCTTAATGCTCCTGTTGGTATGGAGGCCCGTGCCCATTAAGAAAAAACTCCAGTCTATATCAATCTGGGCCATGGATAACACTCAAGCCTCCAGAGTATGACAAGCCCAGGTATGTGTAATCAGAAAAATGAGGCTCCTAGTAATGGAAGAGATATGTTCATTGCTGAAGAGCAAAACAACTGCGTTATAGCTACATTAGAACCTTTAAAGGCAGGTTTACCAACTGCCATGAGTTACCTCTGGAGTATTCCCCGCAGGGCCAGTAGCTTCATGTATCTCAGAAATACTGGTCACTGGAGGTTCTCCGGTCAGACTATGAGGAGCTGGGATCCTTGGAACTTCCATCCTAAGGTACCAATATTTTGCAGCCCTCATTCGCCTTTTCAATGGAATTATCCAAAGTTTTCCCCAAACAGCACCACCCCTTCAAATAGAATGGTGTAGAGGGCAGACTTTGAGGATGAGTCATCATCCCAGAAACAGAACCATAATGCTTTCTTAGCTGCTATAGATAAAGCCATTTGATCCACAGACTATCCTAGTTACATCTAGGGAAGTTTCTGTGAAGAAGTCAGTTGTAACCAGAAGACTTCAGACTGCCTCTTCAATCTTGGCCTTTAATATCTCTCTTCATAGTAGCCTTTAGATCTTTAATCACATAACTCATGTTTGTAGAAACAGCAGCAGAAATCACAGCTGGCTGGCCTCCTGCAATGGTAGGCGTAAAATTTTGGACAGGTCTGCGTCCACCTATGATCCATAAGTGTGCAACTTAGGTGGTGTAGTTCTGGGGTTGGAAATAACGTCCTCCACAGGGTAAAGCCTGGCCTCTTTTCTTACCCCTGAGGCCTCTGGAACTTACTTTGTAAGCCCTGCCCGCATGTCATGTGGCTGCACAGTGATAGGTCATGCTGAAGCGACAACCTTCTGGAGGCAGTCAGTGCATAACCGATTCCTTCCACTGTATTCTCCTCATATCCAGATCCTGGTGAAGAATCAGACACCTGACAAATAATAACAACTAAATATTACCTGTGGTAAAGTATTAAGAAAAAATGTGCACTGTTAAATTCTATAAGAAACCAGCGAAACCACTTTAAAACAGGCTAAAGACAGCACTTATCCATGTCTGGAGACCCTGCAAATACTTACCCAATAAGTGTATGTTTACTGTAATTTTCCCTTTATTTTAGGCACTTTCTGGCAATTGCCCTTATCCAAGATGGCTGCCACAACTTGTATTCCCACAATGCAAGTCCTCTGTATTAGGCCCAATAAGGCACAAACTGCACACATGTGGGCCTATTCTGAGTGTGTTTGCTGTTAGAGACCAGGGAGAGGACTCTGTCTGAAGCCAACATGGCCCCTAAACACCCAGGGAACCAGGAATAAATCACTGGGACCGAGGGGAAGCAACATAGATAACAAAAGTGCCTGCAAGGAAGTTTAAATGGCAACCAGGAGCAAAAAATCAATTTTAAAGGCACCACAGTCTAAAGGCCGCAAGGTTTAAAAGGTAACACAGTTTCCAAAATGTATCACAGTTTCCAAAATGTATCACAGTTTTCAAACAAACTGCAGTCGTCAATGACATGCAACTTTAAATGAAAACAGTTTTAAATGCAACACAGCTTAAATGCTTCCTAGTAAAAGCACAACCGCGTTATGTACCACAATCTTAAAAATAAGGTACAGATGTATAATGCACTAGTTTAACCTCTTAAGGACACCTGACATGTGTGACATGTTATGGTTCCCTTTTTATTCCACAAGTTTGGTCCTTAAGGGGTTAAAGATATCAAAGCTTAAATGCATCACAGCATAAAAGCACCACTGCATAATGTACTACAGTAAAACAGAAAATAAAGTAATGAAGATAAAACAACATACATGTCCATAAGTAAAGGGAGCAAATTGCTCACGTCCTAAGGGCTGTAGGACAGGAAAAAGACTGAGGACCTTAGGGATGGAGCCTCCTTTTAAAACCTTGGTGGTTTTCCTGTCCTATCGGCTGTAGGGGAGGAGCTAACCCATGTGTATATGCTGCCATGATTAGCCAGGAAATATATATATATATATATATATATATATATATATATATTTACATACATAATTAATACAATGTGAGGGTGGTGTGTGTGTGTGTTAGGGTGCTGTGTGTGTGAGGGCACTGTGTGTGTGTGCTGTTAGTGTGTGTGTAACGCTCACTTCTCGCGAGAGGAACCCGGCGGAGCTACTGGCTAGAGCTCCCCGGGTCCTCTCCTGCCTCCGTCTATGCTGATGTGGGCCGGTGAGGGAATTCTTTCATCTCCCTCACCGGCCCACTGAGGGAGGCATATAGTGCATGCCGCGGGGATTAGGGTGTGCCCAGGCACACCCGGCACACCCCATGCGCATGCCTATGTGTGTCTGCATGGGTCAGTGTGTGCCGGCATGGGTTAGTGTGTGTCTGTATGTGTGTGCATGGGTCAATGTGTGTCTGCATGGGTTAGAGTGTGTCTGTATGTGTGTGCATGGGTCAGTGTGGGTCTGCATGGGTTAGTGTGTGTCTATATCTTTGTGCATGGGTCAGTGTGTGTCGGCATGGGTCAGTGTGTGTCGGCATGGATCAGTGTGTGTCAGCATGGGTGAGTGTGTGTCGGCATGGGTCAAAATGTGTCTGCAGTATCGGTCAGCGTGTGTCTGCATGTATCAGTGTGTGTCAGTGTATGTGTCTGCATGGGCCAGTATGTGTGTCTGCGTGAGACAGTGTGTATGTGTGTGTCTGCATGGGTCAGTGTGTGTGTGCGCGTCAGTTTGTATTCATCAGTGTGTGTGCCTCAGTCTGCTTGGGTCAGTGAGAATGCATCAGTCTGCATGAGTGGGTGGAGCAAATGGGGCAGCAAAAAGCCTTGCTCCAGCCCTGGAAGTGACCAGTTCTCTGAGAATATCAGCTAGAATGCAGATAATACCGGCCAATGCAAGGAAAGATTATAGGATGCATTTAGACTCAGTTAATGGTAAATATATATTATGGTGAACGTAGAGCAAAGATGGCGTAGGCACTCACTATAGTATACAATGGGTGGCAGTGGTAAATCGATAAGGATTCCCAAAAACCTTGTGTAAAGACACAATATATGTTACAACAATCAGTTATAAACCGCGCCTAATGGTGAAACAGATGTAAAACGGTGTGTTTTACTTTTTTTTACTTCTGAGATTGACATACTACACCATCAAAGTTTCCCCTTGTGTTTTATTGTTTATATATTGGAACACTACGTACACCATCTGGAGGATCTTTATACATCCTGAGACGGGGCTTGTACCGTCCAATCGAAAAAAAAGCAGAGCTCTAAGTAGCTCAGAAAAGTGTGAGTTAGTCCTCTTAAACATTTATATAGGATACGCACTTAAAGTGACATATTGCACTGTTATAGGTTTTATTTGTGGGGGTTTTCTTGAGCATTTATTCACTGAATATATTATGGTGTGATCGAGTCAGTGTGACTGATTGTATGAGTGTGTGAGTGCGTGACTGAGTGAGACTGCCTGTGTGAGTGTGACTGAGTGTGAGTGTGTGAGTGCGTGACTGAGTGAGACTGACTGTGTGTGTGTGACTGAGTGTGAGTGTGTGAGTGCGTGACTGAGTGAGACTGACTGTGTGTGTGTGACTGAGTATATGAGTGTGTCTAAGTGTGACTGAGTATGTGAGTGTGACTGAGTCTGTGAGTGTGACTGACTGACTGTGTTAATGAATGCGTGAGTGTGACTGAGTGAGTGTGTAGCTGTGACCTTTATATAAAAATATATGTACATTTCTCTTTTGATATTAAATTACATAAATTATAATGGACTGACGGACACTGGGTGCGTCATGTCACCCTCTCGAAGGACAAGCTCACCCCTAAATTCACACATTTCATAGAATTTTGTCCTGTAATGTCCAATACCTTCTTAGATCAGTAACGAAGTGTCGCTATAAGCTAATTGTCACGGGGATTTGTGTCCCTGTTACTGAATATGATATAAGAGACCAGGTACAGAATGTTCTTAAATACTGGCAATGCTTTATGTAACCAAACCCCACCCTTGGTTTTACGAGGCTGAATGATAATCCCAGGAAGATTCCATCACGCAACGATAAATGTTTCACTAGATCACCTGATTAAACATGGAATTACTAAACTGCTTTGCAAATTGTCAATAATGCAGGGAGCTCAGACAGCTCCAGTGACCGCCTTTAGAAAGAATATCACTTCCTCCTAAATCACTGTTCATGCCGATAAGGCCATGCAGTGCTTATAGTACAACAGGAAAGAGTACAAACAACACTTCACGGCCTGCCACAGTATCCAAGTTTGTAAATAGAACGTTACTGGCTATTGTGACAGGAGGGGGCATAGCTGTGTTAGGGTAGTGCCAGTCAGACAATGTCTGAAAATCTCTGGCCTGGTGTATAATAAGCCCGTTTAAGGCTCCCTTTAGAGATTCTTTTTTTCAGGGCACTATAGAAAAAGCAAAGACGACAGGACTGTTGTTACAAATCCAGGACTGTTGGGCAGGGTGTAGTTTTAATAAATGTTGCATTTTGAATTTTAAAAACACCTTATTGCACTGTATATATACTAGTGTCCTTATATCTATGTATATAATGTAATGACTATGGACATTATTGAATATTGGATCGCCAATGCAATAATATTGCTGACTCTACCAATACTATACATGCCCCCAGTACCTTGTCTGCCAGAGTGCCCACCAGCTTACCATCTGCCCATGCTTGTGTCTGTGAGTTCTAAACGTAACCATGGCAATGTTCTATGGAGATCCCGATACAGTCTGTTCCCGACTGACTGAAATTAAAACCACAACAATTATTATTAACAGACACTGTAGCAAACATAAATAACTGTAACGGGACATGTGTAAACCATAAAACACTTTAACGGTGGACTGGCGTACTTTGTATATATAGGTGATACTCCCCTAGGATTGTTTTAATTTTATTGTTTTATTTTACTATGCTGTCTTCTGTATGTTGTATTTTACTATTTGTTTAATAAAGATAACATTTAAAAATAGGGTTTTTTATGACATAACACACAGGTAAAGCTCTCCATATATTCAGATTCAGATACAATACGTTTTGGTGTTTGGTGAATAGATCCCTAAATGTAAAGTTCTATGAGGCTTGTATCTGCTTTATGAGTGTTCCTTCAAATTGCTGTTTTTTTTAGATGGTTGGCCAGGCTGTAAACCCTTCACAATATCGATACAAGTCATCATTAGATTATTCTCGACTTGCCGGTGATGGGAATCTATGACTGACTAACGCAGGAGAAAATAGGACAATTGTGTGATATCTGAAGCTCTGCGGGATAGATGCTATTTAAACAGATCTTGAGGTTATGTCACAGTTAATAATATTTCCCTATTCACTGCTTGGTTTGGAATCTATTTAAGGGCTATTTTTGGACTCAGTAATGTGAAGATGTGGTACCACGCAAGGAGAAGAATTTCGGCCTTTGCATTTCCACTATAATCAAAAGGAAGAAAATGTTGCAATTTACTTGAAAGCCGGCTGTGTCCCACCATGGAAGTGCAGGAAATAGTTTCTTCATGGGTAAATTGATGTAATGTACCGTACCTCAAACATGGACTTAAAAAGATACTCGCAGACACATTTACTAATGGTCTAAATTCTTTTATACTATCACACAGAACAAAGGACAGGCCTGGGGAATGATGCTCACATGGTCTTAAACCTGCAATGAAAGCATTATAGTATCTGAAAAACATGATTTACATTGCAGGGCTGACGGGGGACAGGCAGGAATTTTTCCGGGGGGGGGGCGGGGGGGGGGAGCATAATTGTAATGACATCCATGCTTGGTCCCTTTTTGACAGTGTCATGAAGGGGAGGAGCATAGTTATCACATAAAGCCAGGGTGAATAGCATTTTCACAACTATGGTGTCAGGAATATATGTTTGTATTCCTGACACTATAGTGTTCCTTTAAGCAAATTAAAGGAACATTCTGCTCACCATAGCAACTTCATCTAAATGAAAATGCTATGATGCCAGGAAGCCCCTTGGTGCTCTCTTTCCTTTAAGGGGTTAAACCACTCTCAAATGGTTTAACCCCAAAGGCTTCCTCCAGCTCCAGGTCGCTCAGTGTTATTCGGCTTCTGAAACAGAGTGTCAGGAAGTGCAGATTGACGTCAGGCATGGGTGCCGCTGATTGGCTAGAGTGGTCAGTTGATGCTCTAAGCCAATCGCTAGTTCCCGGTTCATAAAAATGTTTTACTTTTTTATGAATGGGGAGCTACTGATTGGCTTAGAGTGCCAGCTGACCGCTCTAGCCAATCAGCGACACCCCTCCCCAGCAGCCCTCTGTGCTTCCTGACACTCAGTAAATAAATGTGAGCACATTAACACTGATATTTTTTTACCTTGGGAGATGAGAAGGTCCAAAGTTTCCCTGCCAGGCCCAGGTACCAAAGCCTTATGATGTGGTGTCCAGAATAAAGTGGAGGGTTCACTTGTCCTTCCTGCTCCAATCTCCTTTTCTTCTCCTTCGTTTGACACAGTCTTCTTTTTCTTCTGACACTGTCTTCTCTCCTCCTTGGCTCCTTCTGCTCCTTTACCTTTCTGCTACTTTCTGCTTATTGTGCTCCTGTCTCTCTCTGATCTTTCTGCTCCTTCTCCTACTTTACCTTTGTGCTCCTTGCTGTCACTTTCTGCTCCTTGCTACCCTTTTCTGCTCCTTCTCCTACTTTACCTTTCTGCTCCTTTACCTTTGTGCTCCTTCTGTCCGTTTATGCTCTTTGCAGACCCTTCCTTCTCCTTGCAGACCCTTCCTGCTCATTTCTGTTCCTTCGCCTACTTCACCTTTGTGCTCCTTCTGTCCCTTTCCGCTCCTTGCTGCTATTTTCAGCTCCTTGCTGACCCTTTCAGCTCCTTCTACGTTACCTTTGTGCTGCTTTACCTTCCAGCTCTTTGCTGACCCTTCCTGCTCCTTGCTGACCCTTCCTTCTCCTTGTTGACCTTTCGTGCTCCTTGCAGATCCTTCCTTCTCCTTGTTGACCCTTCCTGCTCCTTGCAGACCCTTCCTGCTCATTTGTGTTCCTTTGTGCTCCTTCTCCTACTTTTATCTGTTGTGCTCATTGCTGTCCATTTCAGATCCTTGCTGCCCCTTTTTGCCCATTTCTATCCCTTCTCCTTTCTGCTCTTTCCTTCTCCATTCTGCCCCTTCTCTTACTTTACCTCCCCCATCCCTTACTTACCTGATCTATAGGCTGTCTTCCCCCATCCCTCACTTACCTGATCTATGGGCTGTCCCCCCCTACCTGATCTATAGGCTGTCATCCCCCATCAGTCACTTACCTGATCTATAGGCTGTCTCCCCCCATCCCTCACTTACCTGATTTGTAGGCTATCCCCATCCCTCACTTACCTGATCTGTAGGCTGTCTCCCCCATCCCTCACTTACCTGATCTGTAGGCTGTCTCCCCATCCCTCACTTACCTGATCTGTAGGCTGTCTCCCCCATCCCTCACTTACCTGATCTGTAGGCTGTCTCCCCCCATCCCTCACTTACCTGATCTGTAGGCTGTCTCCCCCATCCCTCACTTACCTGATCTGTAGGCTGTCTCCCCCATCACTCACTTACCTGATCTGTAGGCTGTCTCCCCCATCACTCACTTACCTGATCTGTAGGCTGTCTCCCCCATCACTCACTTACCTGATCTGTAGGCTGTCTCCCCATCCCTCACTTACCTGATCTGTAGGCTGTCTCCCCCATCACTCACTTACCTGATCTGTAGGCTATCTCTGCCCCCCATATGCCTAATTTCCCTGATATGTAGGCTATCTCTGCCCCCATCCCTCACTTCTCCTGATCTGTAGGCTCTCTCTGCCCCCACGCCTCACTTCCTTGATCTGTATATCTCTGCCCCACCCCATGCCTCACTTCCTGATCTGTAGACTGTCTCTGCCCCCCCCAATCCCTCACTTACCTGATCTGTAGACTGTCTCTGCCCCCCCATGCCTCACTTCCCTGATCTGTAGGCTGTCTCTGCTGGCTGCATGTGTTGCTCCCCTGCAGATTCAGTCAGAGAGAAGCAGGGATAAGATGTAGCTTCCTATCCCTGTCTCTCTCCATACACCTACTAGCCAGCACCGGTATTGCACTGTATTTTCAACCTCACACGAAAATTAGCAGAACCAGCTGAAAAATGCAGGGGGGGGGGGGCAAGTGGCCCCCCTTGCCCTCCTTTGTGGACGCCCATGGGGTCAGGGACACTGCAAGCAGACCACGTCAATGAGAGGAAGTGATCTGGGTGACTATAATGTCCCTTTAAAGACATATAACTGTAAGTATTAATGTTAGACACTCCAACAATATGAATCTCCTAGAAAAGAGTGACAGAGGGATTTAGACCCAAATACGACTGCACCTCCTAAATAGGGAACATTGGGAGGTAAACAGTACTGAAAAATTAGTACAATTGGTTCAAAACACATCTCGCAAACCTGTTTAAAACTTCCAGATTGCATTATTCATAGCCAGCAGTTCATCTCCTTCTTCTGAGCTTGATAAACTTAGTACAATTGAGTTGGGTAATAATAAGATATTTCTTTTCACCAGCTGATAATTTAGTTAACTATGAAAACAATACGTTTTGTAAAAGTGGTATTTTTTTTTTATTGTTATTGCAACATGAATATATTATTTATTGAAATAATGTCCCATTCTCTTTGCATCATAAACACCTGAATAAATGCAGATTTTTTTTCCCTAAACAATATTAGATTTAAACAGGACGTATCACTAATTATGGAAATATGTGGCTGGGGTTATTTTTTTTTTTTTTTTTATTCATCTCTTTGAATTGGTTATAGTGCCTGGAGTACCCTGGCACTGTCCCTCCATTCAGTGTTGCACCATGTTCGTGCAGTATGCCACAAAATAAGAGTCCCTGGCCACCCACAGTCCAGCCCTTTCTGTATGTGTAGCTAAGGCAAAGATTACACACTTCCTTGTTGTCATACCCATTCATACCGTCAGTTGGAACTCTGACAGGCTAAAAGCAGTCAGCTGACACTCTCAGCCAATCACAGCTGCCCATGGCTGCTCAGGGTAATACTTCCTTATTAGCCAAAGCAGCACAGAGCATTAAAACATTAAAAGTTTAAAAACTGTTTAATGCTGAAAGAAATGATGGTACCAGAGGACTCCAGACACTATAACCAGTTTAATGAGATGAAGCAGATACAGTGCCTACGGTGTCCCTTTAAATAACCCTCGGTGGCATGAGGGTTAATTATGTGGCAGCTGGCCAGTGCTTGCTATCAAGCCATCTCACTCAAAACGTTTTCAAAAGAATAATTAAATAAATAAAAAGGGATGTATTTCACCCCTCTATGCCTCCACATGCAATGCGTCAGGTCGGGGCATATCTCCTAAATGTCTAAACCTGGCAACTGAGCAGTCACTATATAGGCCCCATCCCATAGCACCCCTCCCCCACCCATCAGGGGGAGATATAAACAATAATAAGGGGCTGGACAGATCACTGTCTGCCCCCATGTCTCCACCCAAAGCCAGCAGGTGGTAAAATTTACAAAAATAAACAAAGGGTATATCCTTATGTCCCCAGCCCCCACCTATAGTCAGCGGGTGGGGGCACTAATTATTAAGAGAGGAGAACCTAGTGTACAGTCCAGCCCCCACCCATAAGCGTGAAGGGTAAAGGCTCTTGGTAATAAAGCAAGGGGGGCTGGACATGCTATTTTGCGCCCCCTGAATATTGATATGTACACACCCCACTCCTCCACCCAGCTAGCCCCCCAGCCATCTAGCCATCCCCCATTAAAAATAAATGAAATAAATAAATACATTTACATACCTCCCCTCACCACAGTAATAGTGAGAGGGAAGCAAAAAATCAAATATCTGTGAAAAAAATAAATATATACTTACCTATCTAAAGTCTTCGTTCTTTCGAAAGAATAACAAATCCATAAATCCCAATTTTACTAATGAAAATATTTTTTTTTAAAACTCCAAAAATATTCAAAATGCGTTGCAAAAAACCCAATGAATCTCTCTTCACCCAATGAGGTCACGTTATCAAAGTGCTCTGACAGCCAATCTCACGTGAAGTGGCTTGTACCTCTGCCAGTGGGTTAATATTATTAGGTTATTATATGACAGTTTATGTTGACTCACTTGAATAGTGAAATTGCCTCTTCCAGCAGTTTTCACTGAGATAATAAAAAGCTTGTTTGTTATAATGTTTTAATTATTCTTATCTTTATTATTGATGGTTTACCGAGGCATATAAGATGTTAAGTATTCATTATATGCCCCTGAAATAGTTAGGTGATACATATAATGATACACTGCTGCAATATTAGGAGTGGCTAAACATTGTATCTTTATCTATAGACACATTATTTATCTGCCCCTGGAGCTCAGTTTGAGAAAGGTGACAATTATTATTCTATTTTTGGAGCGCTCACATTCAGTGGGTTAATAGTATGTAAAATTATTATCCGCTTCCATGAAAGCAAATGAACGATAATTGACAAACCTGCGTCCTCCTGGATACATTGACTCCCGAATTTAATGAAAACTGGTGCTTTATGAATCTAAAAATACTTTGTACAGGATTCTTACGCGAAAGTGGCAATTTAAATCCAGACACTGAATACCTCTGGGTGATTGCTGCACATTCACTTGGGCTGACCGAATTCTGATTTCATGGCTGTAGTAAATATGAGAATTGTCATTGTGGTCCGAATATGGTAATTTTCACTGGATTTTGTCCATCCAGATATAATCCTGTGTTCAGTGAATAACCCAGTAATAAAACCATTTGAACAAACAAATTGGGTTCAGCATAGAGTTTTGTAGTGCAGGCCACATATTACGTAACTGACACTCACGTTTTACCCCACGAGAGCAGGTTTGGGGGGGCAGGATGTTTGAAATGTTGCTTTGTTTAAATGAGGCTCCATCCGCCTTAGAATATTTAGAATTATACGATCATAACCTACACTTTACACTTTGCAACTTGTCTGTTGATGTTGAACAGCTCAATATAAATCATTTGCAAATAAAATCTAAATTATTGTCACTGGAATCTTATATTTGAGACCTGCTCAGTCAGAACATGACGGTGTGTAGTGTTGCAGTTGGTGAGAAGCTCCATAACAGCTATTAACCCCTTAAGGACACATCACATGTGTGGCATGTCATGGTTCCCTTTTATTCCAGAAGTTTGGTCCTTAAGGGGTTAAGGGGTTAATATGTGGATGAGTATCAGAATCAGCTGGTTTACTGAGGTCTTTTTCTACCTCTTAACGTCCTCTGTAACAATCTCGTTCTCTGTATCCGCAGCTAACCTGGCGTCTACGGACATTATGTTCTTAGTGTGCTGTGTGCCCTTTACTGCCACACTGTATCCGATGCCCAGCTGGGTGTTTGGCGACTTCATGTGCAAATTTGTGGCCTACTCTCAGCAGGTAAGTTACTAACTCTGTCCTTTAATAATACAGAACAGGAGATCTTTAATCAAAATAATTCCTGGTCAAACAGCATGGGCGTGGGGAAGAGTGCCCTTTCAGTCAGATTAAATGGGCCGACACGTTAGCAAACACGTAAAGTCCTCTGGTTTTTAATCATTATTATTAAAGTGGACAGATGAAACAAAGTGACATTTGTAGCAAATATCAGGATATGCTATTTTATGACTATAGGTTATCGCCATTAAAGCGACTCTGTCACCTTCTGGGGTCGTTCTATATTTGGCAAAGACCCCCAATGGTGACTTGCTGGGTGGGTGGGTGGGTGGGGGATTGGGAGAGCAGAGAAAGCTGTCCCTTTTTGGCTGCCGTCATCGAGGGGACATCAGCCAGGGCCCAGGTCAGTGCTGCACGCTAACGCATGTGCAAGAGTACAATGTCTGGGAAGGATCCCACAAGACTGTAGGAGCCTCCATAGACAATGCTGGGAAAGTGAGAAAACGTGGCGTTGGCAGTCCGCCTCTTGTCAAGCTTTGGCAAGCGGATGGAAATTACAAGACACACAGTATGCTTTGTCATTTCTTTTAACTGAGATGAAATTTCAATGAAATTTCAATACAGTCAATGTGAGTATTTCATACAGAACTTGCCTATAAATTACTGCACTGGAGACTGAATAGCATTGATGGATAAAACAATCTCCTGTTCACCAGGAGGTAATCAATGTTTCAAACTGTCTTATTTTGACCCAAATTACGACTTTTTAAACCAAACGAACATTTATTAATAAAGGGTTATTAACTAAAGTGAGAATTCAAAGTAAGTTTCTAATTTAAGTCCAAACTAGTTGACATGGAATAAGTCAACTATGCCTCTACTGCTGCTGCTTTGACCTTAAATTAGACATCACTTTGAATTCACTCTCAATTCTGACCTCACTGAATAACACTGTGAACTGCGTCTCATACATACATACACACACACACTGGATCCCCTACACACACACTGGATCTCGTGTATACACACTATATCCACCGTACACTCACTCAACTACCTACATACACCCTGTATATATATGCACACACTACATTCACTGTACACACACACACTGGATCTCGTATATACACACACTATATCCACTGTACACACACACTCAACCCCCTACATAGACCCTGGATCCTGTATATATGCAAACACTACATTCAATGTACACACACACTGGATCCCCTACACACACTGGATCCTGTATATACACACACACACTGGATCCCTTACACACACACTGGATCCTGTATATATATATATATACACACACACACACACACACACACTGGATCCCCTACACTCACACCTGATCCCCTACACTCACACACTGGATCCCCTACACACACTGGATCCTGTAAATACACACACACATACCGGATTCACTGGATTCCCTACACACACACACACACACACACTGGATCCTGTACACACACACTGGATCCTGTACATACATACACACATTGGATTCCCGTTACATTCACAAATTACAGCTATTGTACACATACATACTGGATCCCCTACATACACTGACATTACAAAGGTGTGAGACGATTGCAGGGTATTCTGCTAGCGGCCCAGCAAACCCACACCTATTATTAGAAGGTCCAGCCAGGGACCCCTAGTTCTTTCATTATGTAAACCGGTTGCCCACTAGCATTTCTATAAGTTATCTTTGGAACTCAGAAAAAAAAAAGAAAGAAATGGGATCTGTGTGAGAATGGGTGTAAAAGGGAATATACAACACCTCCACACTGATCCCATACACCAGGAGGGCACTCCAGCAATGCCCAAGGGCTTAACCCTAGATACTAACAACAGAAACAAAAAAGCAAAAATTCACAAACTGAATACAATGCTGGCTGGAGATAAAGACATAGGCACCAAAGCATCCAGTGAAATGGAACAATGTAACCAGAGGGAGACCGCGAAATATCTGAAATAACACAAAGTATCAACACAGAAATAAACTGACTCTGAATAATAATAAATACCGAACTAGCCTTATAAGGATACTCCCATGGCTAAGTAAGTGAGGAGATAAAATTACTAAACACCTAATTCTGCAATATACATATAGGCTTTATTAATCCTGGCCCTTTAACGCACAGTGTGTTAGTAAATCTCCACTTAATTCCTGAGCGCCGGTAAAAATGCTAAAGGGAGAAAAGTTACTGTCTAGAGGATCAGCAGCGCTAATAATCAAAGGTAGGACAGATAAGGTAAATTAAAGTAAAGAAAGCCTCTTACGGAACGCTGCTAATCAATAAGGCTGCCGAGGGAATTTGAAGGGCTACCACTTGGCTAGTTTATTATTGTGGATCCTTACGGCATTTTTGTTGAGGGTAACCTAGTGAGGGAGTCTGGGTAGGAGAGGATATATCCTTATTTAATAGCTGACAGTTCAATACTGTGTTCCTGACATGATGTACTTATAATAACCTACAGTTTTACACTCCGCTCCTGACAGTATTTTCTGAGTATGAGATGTAACTGTACTGACAGCCAGATATTAGTCGGATATTTTTTTGATATCCATCTCACTGATAGCCTATCCGGACATGCTCAATTTAACTTCTACCATACTGATCAACAATACAGGCTCAGATATATGACGCCTTAGTAACAGCACGTAATCCTTATCTGAGGGAATCTGAGGGGCTACCAGTATATTACTGGCTATATTTATAGTGGGTCCTACTAGCATTCTGCTGAGGGAGACCTACTGAGGGAGTCCGCTACTTTTATTTTAGATTTATAATAGCCGTTAGTCCGATACCTCGTTTTTGACAGTATGTATCTAATAGCTGTCAGTCTGATACTTTGTTCCTCATAGTATATACTGAGTATTAGTCGTAACTCTATTGACAGCCAGACCTTACCGCTAACAGCACCTAATGGATATCAGTCCGTGTTTCACGGATAGCCTGTCCGTATACGCTAGATTTAACCTCTACGATACTGACAACGGTACAGGCTACAGTATACGACGCCTTTGATTTAGCACATATTGCTTATCTGAGGCCAACCTATTTTCCTTTTTTGCTTTGCTATTCTGATGTATTCTGTTTACTTAGTAAGTTTAAGCCCATTTGGGCAACTGTAAGAACAGATTTATACAGTCACCCCTTATGGAGATAATTAAGACACTATAGGAAAAGCTATACTTTAAGCTTCCAAAGGTGTCACTGAGGATTTTAGTGATCCCTCTTTAATAGTGCTATTCTCCATTGTTTGTCACTATAAACGCTCCCCTCTTTTAATTTTGACATTTAGTAGACATACCATGCATTTTTATTCCAAGCAACATATTAAAGGTATTCCACAGTATTTCAGCATTGATATGCATAGGTAGAATCTAATGCAGTATTTATTTTCACTTACACTTTATTCTTTGCACAGTTACTCTTATTGGGACTTTATTCAATTTTATTATGTTTCAGCTCTATTCATAAGAATAATCTGGTTCCCTGTGGGAACATTCATTTTGCTGTTCTATACATAGGGTTAGGCCCTTCCAATTGGAGGACATACATAAGGACCTTACCTTATCTATAAATGTTCTAAGAAAGCCTCTCTCCCTGTTAAACTTACTAAAAAGGCATAGAAGAAAAAAATTGAAAGGAAAAACTGAAATCATAACACAAACGTGTATCACAGAATGCAGTGAAGTGCCCGTGTGTGCAAGTTAAAATTGACCCATAGAAAAGAGCCTGACGCGCGTTTCGGTGCATCTTCGTCAGAGGCAGGGAGTTTGTTATGATTTATGATTTACATTTTTTCTTCAATGCCAATCTAGTAAGTCTCACAAGGAGAGAGGCTTTCTTTATTTTATTTTACTTTATCCGTCTGTCTGCTTTTGATTATTAGGGCTGCCAATCTTTTAGACAGTGACTTTTCTCCATTTGGCACTTTTTCTGGTGCTTAGTTACTAAGTGGAGATTTACTAACACCATATGCATTAAAGGGCCAGGATTAATAAAGCCTATATGTATATTGCAGAACTAGGTGTTTAGTAATTTTATCTCCTCACTTACTTAGACATGGGAGTAACCTTATAAGGCTAGTTCGGTATTTATTATTATTTGGAGTTAGTTTATTTTTGCGTTGATACTTTCTGTTACTTGAGATATTTAGTGGTCTCCCTCTGGTTACATTGTTCCATACCACTGGATGCTTTGGTGCCTACGTCGTTATCTCTAGTCAGCATTGTATTCAGTTTGTGATTTTTTGCTTTTTTGTTTCTGTGTCTTTGGAACTCCCCTGGATATTCATTGCCAATTCCATGTATTTGGAAGGACTCTGTTTTGTGGCCAAATTTAGACAATTCTGAGATGGACTGAGAAACTCAGAATAGCAAATTAGATGAGTATTCTCTGAATATCTGCCTCTGACAAAATTTTTTGGTTTTTTTGTAAATGTATTTTTTTTAAAAGACTTTAATATCTGCAAGATTCTTGTCAGCTTCTACAGCTAAATTTGGGCCATAAAATCGGATCAAACAATAAATACCCTACAGTAACCGTGTACCTTCTATATCTAGGTGACAGTGCAGGCCACGTGTATCACCCTAACAGCGATGAGCGCAGACCGCTGCTACGCCACGTTGTACCCCCTGAGGTCACTGCGGCATCGCACCCCAAGGGTGGCCATGATTGTCAGTATCTGTATATGGATAGGTATGTATCTGTATGTATGGACAGGAATGAGTAAAATGGACACATTCTGAGCCATAAAACTTAAAATATAAAAAATGAGCTGTAATAATACAATGGCCTGTCATATACAAAGAGCTGTAGTGACACGTTAAGTTGTAATAATAAAATGAGCTGTAATGATACCATGAGCTGTAATAATACAGTGTGCTGTAATGATACAATGAGCTGTCACAATACAATGAGCTGTAATAATACAATACGCTGTAATAAAACAATGAGCTGTAATGATACAAAGAGCTGTAATGATGCAACGAGCTGTAACAATACAATGAGCTGTAATGATACAATGAGCTGTAATAATACAGTGTGCCGTAATGATACAATGAGCTGTGATGATACAATAAGCTGTAACGATACACTGAGCAGTAATGATACAATGAGCTGTCACAATACAATGAGCTGCAATTATACAATGAGCTGTAATAATACAATGAGCTGTAAGGATACAATGAGCTGTAATAATACATGAGTTTAGGTATCCACCCAAAGATTCTCTGTGCAATCTCCATGGCAGTTGGAAATATGGCAACTTTAAATCAAATGACCCATTATCAGTTCAACAGCACCAGGCCATAGCACCATAACCACAATAATTATTACAAATACAAACGTTGTAATAATGTAACAAGCTATAATAGTACAATGAGATGCCATAATACTATAAACTGTAATAGTACAATAAGCAAAACTCTTCGAACTCCCGACAATTCTCACTTTGATGAATAATCCTGATTTTGTGTTTTTGTCCCTCCCCCACAGGATCCCTTCTCCTGTCCACACCTATCATACCGTACCAGAGGATCCAAAAAGGCTATTGGTATGGGCCGCGCACTTACTGCATAGAGCAGTTTCCCACCGATACGCTGAAGAAAGCTTGTATCCTCTATCAGTTTCTGGCGGTCTATCTTCTGCCGCTGCTGACAATATGCCTCTGTTATTCACTCATGTTGAAGAGAGTTGGGCAGCCGATGGTAGAACCCATGGACAACAATTATCAGGTACAAAAACTGTGCTTCTCATCTTCCTTACAGGTTGGACAATATACAATCATTATAAAAACGTTGGTTATATAATATTACTCAAGGACAAATAATGGTCCTTTCTTACATAGAATACGTTCCTATCTATATCTTATATTAAACTGTAAACCCATTTAAAGTGTTAGCAGAAGCACAATTAAAGAAACATTGAAGTGGTTATAGTGCCTGGCGTCCCCTGGCACTGTCCCTTCATTCAGTGTTAAACCGTTTCAGAGTAGTTTGACTCTAAATAAGGGCCCTACTGGAGGCCCTACACTTCCTTCTAACCATACCGATTCATACCAGCAATGGGCGCTGTGATAGGTTAAAAACAGTCAGCTGACACTACCAACCAATCACAGCCACCCATTGCTGCACAGGCTAATACTTCCTCATTAGTCCAAGCAGCACAGAGGGAATGGACTGCTGGGGACTCTTACTTAGCATTTAAAAATTAATAATGGTTTCATGCTGAATGGAAGGATGGTGCCAGTTTACTCATCACACTATAACCACTTCAGTGATATGAAGCAGGTACCGTTCTTACAGAGTCCATTAAATTTTTCCCCCAATCATAATGCCCCATGGACACTAAATTGGCGGTAGAGGAGAGCAGTATGATAGAGCTTGATTACTGATTTTATCACATCTATAGATTGGAGGACAGCTGTGCTTAAATTATTATTGTTTCTTCCTTGTGCCCGATCTTAGTATCTGGGTGCTGCCATTTTGTTCTTCTCGGTCCGTGATGTTTGCAGTTGACCTTCTGTGGGATTGATTTTACTGATAGATTGTGGGTAATTTGATTGGCAACCGAAACAGAGCCCTCCCTAGGCTCCGCCCATTGTCACGTTTTGTCCTTTTCATAATATAACTTTATTTTTACTTTATTTTTTATGAAAATTAGAGCGCTCAGGAAAAACTGTAAATAGTGATTCAGACACAGAGAGCTGTATAGCAGAAGATTAAATAAAGTTTATTTTTGCCGACAGAGCCGCTCTAAAGGCAGTTATTTTTATTTTTTAACTTTAGGAAAACATTTATTGTAGTCAAAGCACAAGCTCGTAGTAAAGATTCTATCACTGATTACAGTGTATCGGCAGGACTTGTGAAGGAGGAAAAAAAATAAAATAAATAAAGTCACAATTGTTCACGATGAAAGTTATCAAACCTTTATCAGCTGAACTTGGACAGAAGGACGTTACATGTTTGTACACAGCATTAATGGAGGCTATTTATATTTTATAAACAGATCTTATCAATACCGTCTCACAGTCACTGCAAAAGTTGAGCATTTAAGAGTTAAAGAATATCAAATTAAGTGATGTGTTTAGGCATCACAAAATCTCTGATAGGGGTCTTAAATATATTCTATCCATGTGTCAAATGGGACAAAACAGACCAAAATGATAAAAAGTATCATAAATTAATACGTACAATGTACTCTCAACCAGTGTGCAATTCTTATGTAGGGCATTAGCACAAAAAACAGCGTGATCCATTTAATTCAAAATGTCGGGGGAGAGTGTGGGGAGCAACCATGGTAACACATCCACCCCACACCCACTTGCAAAATCGTCTAGAAAAAGTAAAAGCACAAATACTATTCCTTTTGTTTTAGATCAATACACTCCTGCCATCACACATACATTATGGATTAGTAGAATTTGAACAGGTCAAACAATAGCAACGTGACGGCAGATAAGAACCATTCGGCCCATCTAGTCTGCCCAATTTTCTAAATACTTTCATTAGTCCCTGGCCTTATCTTATAGTTAGGATAGCCTTATGTCTATCCCACGCATGCTTAAACTCCTTTACTGTATTAACCTCTACCACTTCAGCTGGAAGGCTATTCAAAACGTCACACGTGCATCCCAAAACCTCCACTAGAAGAGCACATTTAGCTGATTTTTATTGATGTTATGATACTGACTGAGGGTACAATATAGTAAAATTCTATAAACTTTTTTACTTCAAACATTAAGATTGTTATGGTCCGAAAGGAAGAAACCTTAGACTAGGTACACAAATAGAGGCTGAAACTGATTTCCTTCTACAAAGTCCATAGCAGTAAAATATTGCCATTTCATTAGCCCAAAAGTATTTAAAAACATGTCACATGAAGGAGGCATTAGAGTCACTGCATTAAACCGATTCTTTGCAAAACATTGTTGACCTCATTAGTGTGGGGTAAACAAGGGGTAACAAGGGGACTAAACAAAAACACCTCGTGAAAACCTAATACTAACGTACATACAGGGGAGCTCAACAACATCCCACAACTAGACACCTTAATGAATATATAAAAAAGGCATGCGTCCTAGCATGGACATGGCTTTATTCCATACAGGTGATTGGAAAAAAGATCATTAAACCCCAAATGGCAAAAAAAGGTTCACATTCTGTGAAATAAAAGTTGAGGGTGATTTAATAGCAGCATTTAGGTCCCATTACGCTCCTTAACATGGTAGCATTATATTGCAAATCTTTTAGCATTTTTATATCTGCATTTCATATAAAATATTTTATTTTCGTTTTGTCTCCTACCCTAATGTTTTCTGTACCAGGTTCAACTGCTGTCTGAACGAACAATTGCTATGAGAAGTAAAATTTCCAAGATGGTTATTGTGATCGTCCTTCTTTTTACAATTTGTTGGGGTCCAATTCAGATCTTCAGCCTCTTTCAGGGTTTCTACCCAGGCTTTCAAGCTAACTACGCAACCTACAAGATCAAAACCTGGGCTAACTGCATGTCCTATGCCAACTCCTCCATTAATCCTATTGTCTATGGTTTTATGGGAGCCAGCTTCCGAAAGTCTTTCAAGAAAGCATTTCCTTTCATGTTTCGGAGTAAAATTAGGGATGGGAGTATCACTTCTGGAACAGTGAACAATGAAATGAAATTTGTAGCTATGGATGCACCCAATAATGGGCTGAACTAAGCTGAGTGACCTCTACTCTCACTTAATTTTAGCAGAGAGTTTCTGTGGAAGAAATGGAAAAAAGGTGTTCTAAGTCCAATCAGATGTTCATAATGTGTCTATTACAAGAGGAAGATTTTCAACATGAATAGGGAATAAATTAAAAATACAATGTTAGGCAGTTACACATTTCAGAACAGCTCAAAGACTGTACACATAAAACGTAATATTTCTATACATATGTAGAAAAAGCATCATAATCTATTTTTTCAAAAGATCTTTCTGTGGACCATTCAGCTGCTTAGTGTGAGACATCTATGAAACCATTTCAATGAGGTTGTCTTATGTTTGACCATTACAATATGTGTTTCTCCATGATGTGCCTTGCCTCGGTTTGCATCTTGTAATGACGAGAAAGGGAAAAAAAAAGAGAAAAAGTACAAATGAATCTAACCGTAATCCCAGATGGCATATTGTGACCTGGAAACTGGTTCCTCGTGTTAGGATACTCGAATGTTGGGAGTCAGGTGGTCTTAGAAAACTCCAAGCATGCTTGGGGAGAAGAGGGGTCTTGTTCTACTTATAAACAGTGACCGGTGGACTCAGAAACAGATTGCAGCCTTGGCCTATACTGCCTTCATTAATTGACATGGTGTATGAGAAATTATTGTGTCCTGTATAAATAATGTACACATTGTAAAATAAATAATTATCATTGTTCAATGAATAGTAACTGTATTGTACAATCGCTTTGCTGTAAAAATCTAATATTGAAAACATTAAACAAAACGCATTTTTCTAGTTGTCTTTTATCTCGGAAATGTATTTATTTTTTTATTAAAGGGACACTATAGTCACCTAAATAAATTAAGCCCAATCAAGCAGTTTTGGTGTATAGGCCATGCCCATCCTGTCTCACTGCTCAATTCTCTGCCATTTAGGAGGTAAATCCCTTTGTTTATGAACCCTAGTCACACCTCCCTGCATGTGACTTGCACAGCCTTCCATAAACACTTCCTGTAAAGAGAGCTCTAATGTTTCAACTTCCTTTGTTACACAGTCTGTTTAATTTTGAATTTCTTGTCTCCTACAGTTAATAGCCTCTAGACCCTGCAGAGCCCTCCTGTACATGAATAAAGTACAATTTATAAAGCAGAGGATAAAAACTTCTAAAGTAAGTTAACATCTGCATCTGACTGAAAATGAAACAATGTTTTCCATGCAGGCTGTGTGGGTCACAGCCAGGGGAGGTGTGGCTAGGGCTGCATAAACAGAAACAAAAGTTAACTCGTAAATAGAAGATACTTGAGCTGTAAGACTTCAGAGGCATGATCTATACACTAAAACCATTTTATTAAACTAAAGTTGTTTCTGTGACAATAGAGTCCCTTTCAGTTCATGATTTGGTGATTAGCTTAGTGAATATTTATAATAGTTTTATCTGGGCTAATGGATGTTATTTAGAAATGTTCTATATTTAAAAACACAGACAGTCGTTGACCCAATATTCAAAGTTTGTGAAACAAGACATTCGGATTGTATTTTGTGCTGACTTTGAAGATAAACGTTACAGTTAATTTAGAAAATAATACCAAAAAGTGTCTACTACTGACAAACCGCCTGACTCTTGGTAAAAGACCTAAAATGGTTGCATCTAGCAACGTTTGTGTGAGTCATGGTCCAAACGTCTGCTGGTGCTTCAGACATCTGCTCCTCGTTGGGTAGGTATTTTCTGCAGGCGAATGCAAGCCAAGGACAGCAAAAACACTGCAAGGTAGAGGTTTACTGGAAAGAACTTCATGGCGTTGATAATCCCTGCCGAAGAGGAAAGGCGGAACCCTGCTGAAAAATGACTCATATGGATGAGTCACAGAGCAAACCGTACCCTTTTCTTATTAAAGGTTGGTATTTGTCTCCACAAAACAAATTATACTATGCGTGCTCCTACAGTATGCCCTCAGGGATAACTGGCTAATGCTCATCAATCGTAAAAGGTCATAACACAAAATGAAATTATTATCGATTTTTATGTTTTAGAAGCCTCCGTACACAATCTGAAATAATTACTAACTTCTCACTTTGACGGGCAATATCAGAAACCACCTGAATAAAGTCTTTTTTACGCAGGAAATGGGCAGTAGAGACGGGCCAATAACGTCTTTAGAATATTAAATTTTGTATCGAGAGCACAATACGCACATTGTTCAAGGTCAGAAGAGCAAATTGCTTGTCCTGATTCTCCGCATGTATGTCTACACCTTCACCTTTATAAATTGCTCCAAGCAGGTCAGGACATAACACACAGATTTAACAAGCAGAATGACTCAAAGGTTAGCTTTAAACTTCAGCCCAAAGCATCTTTTGAAACCCTTGAACTCAAATGCACACTGTGTGTTCTGTTGAGAAATGTTATCCTCTGTAACAAGGTCTAACTAAGTATCGGTAAAGACTATAATACGAGCCCTTTATAGACTGATTGGTGACCTTCTAATACCTTTCATAAACTGACTGCTACTTTGCAACCTCCAGTTAAATATCAAAAACTTTTTCCATTTTGAACCCTAATCATTTTTAATCCTGTCTGCAACAAAATCGAGAAGAGGAACATATTGTCCTTGGATTAAAACTGTTTATTTTGATATGATTTAAGTGAGTCATAGGCAATCGGCGCTCTTTTTATTTTGTAATTTTTTTTTTACTCCTTGTAGAATGTTTGGATTTAAGAAACTTCAAAGGATAATAGGAAGACAATGATACATTTACTGCGAACACAAAAAATGTGTTATATGAGGTTGTTTATTTTATTTTTGTTATATAGAGCCTTGTTTGCATAATTTTCTTAGTGTTATCTTTGTCATTTAAAATGCTGTTGTTATGCAAATGTTTTTTTGTAGGTATATTGAGGATATAATATATTTGCACAATATTTTTCCAAAACTGACGCTAATGTATAAATGAAGCTTTATTTATGACCGTAGCAATGTAAGGTATGGTGTTTGGATTGGATGTGGCTGGAGCGAGGGGGAACGTTAGCGAGGTTTTTTGGAGATGGTTTGTGGGGCGTTTTGGGATAACCCTTTACATTGCTTTGCTTTGCACCTTGCTGGGAGGTAATGAGGTTAACTGGAGAGCTAGAGAAATACAATTTCAGATAACTTTTTTCCGGTTCCATTTGTTCCTTTTAGTAGCTATTTATTTAAATATATTTCCATTTGCCATTGTTTCTAAGGGGATTATTTGTTAAACAGATTGTGGCTTTAGGGTTGGAAGTACAGCTGGCTCTTTTGTCCTTAATTCTGCGCTCAGTAATCATCATTCGAATCAAGGTTTAATGAATAAAGTAATGTTTCTTCCAGCCCCTCTTTACACGTGAAGCAGTCATTAATAGACATCAGAGAGAGATGCATGCTTGCTCGGTGCTAATGACGGGACTGGGGCCCTCACGTGTACACCGTGACCTCCTCTCAATCGATCTCTTTTATTGTTGAGTGATGATTTCCATCAGGGCAATTAGAGCAGAGTAACACAATATCCGAGTTAGTTGGGAAGATGCTACCTTAATTACAGGAACATTGTTAAACCTGTTGGATTCAGCAGCCTGGCTGTGTGCATGTCCTATGTTTAAAGAGATGTCTATGGATTTAATGCGCAGTCCCATCCACTACAGCTTGAAAGTCTCTCAGAGTGCCTGCACTCTCTGGACCTCCGGCTCTCCCAAAAACTGAGTTTGGGTGGATGACGAGCAAGAACGATTGGCATTGTGTCATGTGACGTTTCAGAGCAATTCCAAGTACAGGGGTGGGCAACCTTTGGCACTCCAGATCTTGTGGACTACATCTCCCCTGATGCTTTGCCAGCACTCTAGCTGTAAGAGCTTTGTGAGATGTAGTTCTGGAGTGCTGCAGGTTTCCTGCTCCTGTCCTAGTTCATCAATGACAGAATTCCGTAGATAATACACCAATATAACACAACAAACACAGAATAATTTTCATTCCTTTTTTTGAAACCATTGTTTAAAGCTATTTAGAAACACCTATCTCATATACAAAATATGGGGCTTTAATGTTGTTTTGAATATTGGGCTTTAATATTGTTTTTGTTCACTTTTTACAGAGTACCCCAATATTGGCGGTCCTAACCTACATTTTAAAATGTTAATATATGTTGTTAAAGGAACACAAACATGTATTCCTAACGCTATAGTCCTAGTCACCATTTAGGTGACTAGTGCCCCGTTCCGTTTTGAATAAATGGTTAATTAACCATTTATTTACTTACTTTAATCCAGCGCCGGGCTCCCTCGGGACTGGTGACCTCTCCTCCTCCATCGATGTCAGCTTCCTAGTGGAGCAGAATGCACATTACTCAATGCTTTCCTATGGGAATCTTTTTATTACACTGGGCTCTGTGAGGAAGCTGTGATCTCCCCTTTCTACTCCGTTGCGCACCGTTTGCAGATGCCGTACAGCGTTATTCCATCTCCCAGCAGAGACGCGAGGGAGCAGAGCAGGGAGATCAGAGCTCCCACACTGCCTCGGATGCCAATACAGCCGCAAGTTTCACAGCAGCCCCACTGGACTCCAAATGACAGACCCATGCCAGCTCCCCAGGTAGGGAGGCTGGGTGGGATATCTTTAATTATAATAATATTAATAATTAGTGAGTGTGTGTGTATGTGTGTATGTATGTGTGTGTGTGTGAGTTTGTGAGTGTGTGTGTGTCTATGAGTGTATGAGTGTGACTGTTAGTGTGTGTGTGTGTGTGTCTGTCAGTGTGTGTTTGTGAGTGTCTCTCAAATCAGTGAGAGTCTGTTTGTCATTGAGTCTGTGTGTGACAGTGTGTGTCTGTCAGTGTTTGTGTGTCTGTGAGTGTCTTTTAATGTGTCTGTCAATGAATGAGTGTGTGTCAGATCAGTGAATCTGTGTCGGTCAGTGACGTCTGTGTTATTGTCATTGATTGTGTGTGTGTGACTGTCAGTGTGTATCTGCCAGTGTGTGTCTGTTGGGGAATGTGTGTGTGTCAAATCAGTGAGTCTGTGTCGGTCAGTGTCAAGCGGAACAGACTGAGGTACAGGAGCACTTCCTATCAGTCCAGCCGGGTACAGGAAACTGAAGCTCCTGTACCGGGATCTGCTTGCTCGGCCATGCTACAAGAGAGGTAGAAGGCACACCAGGAAGGGGATGGGACCACTTAAGGCGACGGGGGTACACCAAGGGACAGGGAGGGGAGAAAAATACTAAGGGAAAGGAAAAGGAATCGAGAGGGGAGAGGAATACTAAGGGACAGGGAGGGGAGGGGACCACTAAGGGACAAGGAGGGTGAGAGGGGCTGGATGTGAAAGAAACACACAACAGGGCTTGGGAAGGGGAACAAGAGATACACAGAGGGGCTGGGGGGGGGAACAGATAAGCTAGGGGTTAAAGAGACACACACAAAGGGGCTGGGAAGAGTAAAAGACACAAAGGGGCTGGGAGGAGTAAGACACACAAACTGTGGGAGGATATAAGAGTCATACAAAGAGGGGAGATAAGAGACACACAAGATTGTAAGACACAATGGGGAAAAAATAGGAGATAAGATATACTAAAGGGGGTAAGACATTTAAAAGAGGGGATAAGAACACAAAAGGGAGGTTAAGAGGCACACAGGTGAAGATGTTATTTTTTTGTGGGGTAGGGAAGAGTCAGAAAAATGCATCTTCACCTGTGTACCCACAAATCCTTGCACCGGCCCTGCCAGGAAGGTCCAGAAAGCTCCAAGTTGTAGCAATGGTATTACAGTGCAAGTAAGTTGTATTTAATTGTTACTGTTCTAAATCTTGCAGCCATTCATAGTGATTAATTCATTAAGGATGAATTGTAGCAAATTGAAAATCAAATTGCAAAATATAGTAAAAAAAATAAAAGCTGATTTCAAAATAACATTTCTTACTCCTCTATAGTAAATCTTTGGTTATTTTATCCTATATTGTACATTTCAGTTTCAATTCTCTCGATTTTTGTTAGATAAATCCCATAGTGGTCTATTTAAGATGCAGTACCACAAACATCCACACGGTGGGCTCGTCGCCCTCATTTCACATTACCTGCAGTGTTTCAAGGTGAGGTCGCTGGGACTGACGGTCGTGGCCAGAATTATTTCAGTTGAAATTTAAAATGCAAAACAGGAAACAGATTTTACACATTTTCTAAACAAAATAAATTGATGTTAACTGAATTTCCTATTGTGAGGAGCTCAAATGTTGTATTTTGGGAGCTGAGTGTCGTCCAACGCTGCTCCCTGGGAGAATGAGTATAAATTCTGCATTAACCTGCCTTTATTAATATTTATAACTTGTGTTCTCCACTCTCAATAACAGGGGTTTATTTAGTCCACAAATACCCATTTAACAAATAACTCCTCTGTATGACCCCCCCCCCCCCCACAGGTAAAATGTAACCCTTCAAGCTACCCATCATGTGTTCCATTAGTAAGTTACCACGATTTAATGATTGATTTAATATAATTTAATGTACGCTGTACATAAAGGAGTTTTAGTAAATTCAATATACACAGCGAGTCAGTTTATTCAATTTAAAATGTATCATATTTATAGGACTTTCATTAAAAATTGGGGTGCTTCAAACCCATAGTGTCCCTTTAAGATATTGTAATAAATATGTATTTGTTGATTGGAGTATTTGTTATGTTTATATCTTCTTATATTAATGGCTCCCTTTAATAAACTTCTACATCACGCAGAAATACGAACACGCAATCTGACTTTCATTATACATTTATTCTACTCACAATGTAGCTCTTACAAACTCATTATTTGACAGATCCTGTACACATACTTTATCTTTATTAACAATTTCATGAGGATTTTAATTCTACCAGAACTTGACTTTTGGTTATGAAAGCATGAATGATAAATGGTTTCAACTTGGTCAGTTAAACATTATTTTGGATGCAAAATGTAGACAAAATGTAGACAAATAGAAAGATCAACCCGCTCAAGTTCCATAAGGTTATTATAAGAAACAAAATCTGGATTTTGTCATTTATATAATAAGAATTGTGTGTTACTAATAGGAATCCCTGACACCGACATTAAAAATAGTGTTTTTTCAATACCAGAAATTGGTATCAGGGCAGAAATTATACATATATCATTGTTCCAGCCCAATCACTTGTTAACCCACCTTGTAATGCGTGTGCCATCACCTTAAAATCTGTAGAATATTCAATTAGAATACCTTCAAACAAGCTCTGACTACCTGTGATAAATCTGCCTTTATAACCTTTAGTAACATCCCCAGGACATACTTGCAAACCACAGTAATCTGAATGTACCTTTCCTGGTTAAATACTTTGTTATTATTATGTACATAACCTGGATAAATACTTTGTTATTATTATGTACATAACCTGGATAAATACTTTGTTATTGTGTACCTAAACTGGTTAAATACTTTGTTATTATTATGTACCTTACCTGGATAAATACTTTGTTATTATGTACCTAAACTGGTTAAATACTTTGTTATTATTATGTACCTTACCTGGTTAAATACTTTGTTATTATGTACCTAAACTGGTTAAATACTTTGTTATTATTATGTACCTTACCTGGTTAAATACTTTCCTGGTCAAATACTTTATTATTATTTCTCATTAATGTCAAAGCAGGTGCCTGTAAGTGTTAAACGGAAGGTACAATAACAGAGGCTGTTCATCACCGTGTTTTTCAATATTTGATTTAAAACTCTTTGAATGTGCAATCCTTTCTCCTATATTAAAGGACCACTATAAGCACCCAGACCACTTCAGCTTAATGAAGTGGTCTGGGTGCCAGGTCCATATAGGGTTAACCCTTTTTTCTATAAACATAGCAGTTTCAGAGAAACTGCTATGTTTATAAATGGATTAATCCAGCCTCTAGTGGCTGTCTCATTGATTTTCACAGTGAGAAGACGCCAGCATCCATAGTTTGTGCAACGTTCACATACGTCACCTGACCAATTTATCATTTAATCTCCATTAATGACAATCATGATATATGCATTTTGTATTATGTTGAATTCCCACAATCCCCTATTAACATCATCCTCTATAAATGAAACTTTGTCCTAAATAAATATTTAGGACTTTTTAATAACAATATTTCCGGTGAAATTAATGCATACATTGAATAGTTGTAGATAACCGTTGCTTATCCCAAAACAAACATGGCCTTTTAATACTTGTTCATGGTCTCTTTTCTTTCTAACATTTCCCAAGAAATCATCTAATTCCTGAGTAAATATAATTTTATTCATTTTGAATATAACCACTACAAGAACTGTTGCTATGTTAGCAGGATGCGGACAAAAAATGTCTCTTCTACAAGATTGTCTTTGAGAATATATTTTCTTTCCCCGGCCAACTTTCTCCTGTAGGTCCACTATAAATGGAAATAAAATAAAATAAACACAATATCAACATATTGTCACATATTATGTGTTAGGTTTATCCAATTTACAGTGATCTGCATGAACCCAAAAACTATTGTTCCTGTTTATTCCGTGAACCATCAAGAGGACGTTGCACTTGGACCATTGTATCTGTTATTTTGTAAGGACCTTCACAGTTTGCTTGCCAAGGTCATCTTTTCCTTTTTATCATGATCATACCCCCCTTTAAAAAAATCAGGCGGTGCCATTTTGTACATCCGAGTAACTGCATGTGGAATGATTTGCTCACAAATGTTCCTGCAGCATTTGCAACCATTTCTTTTTAGCAATCACATCTTTCTGTGGGGTAGACCAATATGGTTCATTAGGAGAATTCAGCTGCATTTTCTGCCCGTCATCAATTCAAATGGAGCGTATTGTGTAGCTGACGACATAGTGCCTCTAATACCCAGAGTGCTGCAGGAAGTGCCTGTACCCGTGTGTTGCCTTTCTCAAGTAACATTGTTTGAAAGTCTGGATTCCAATGTTCCATTCATCCGTTACACAGTCCAAGCAGATTGTGGATGATATGGAACATGGAAACTTGGATCTATGCCTAGAATAGCACACAGTGTTTGCATGACTTTCCCTGTGAAATGGGTACCTCTGTCTGATCCCCACCTTTAGAAATTGGATCCATAAAGCTTCAGCTGTCCATTGAGTGGAATAACGTACACCCACTTTGAGAATACGTCCACAACTACCAGCGCTTAATTTAATCCATTGTTACCTGCTGGTAATGGTCCAATGAAATCAATAGACCAAGGGCCATTTGCAGGGGCTATACGTTAAAGGGACTATAAGTGCCAGTAATATAAAGCTGTATTCCTGGCACTCTCTCCCCCTGCCTTTCCCCTCACCAGTAAATAAAAGACCCTTTATTTACTTACCTGATCCCAATGCTGATGTGCCTCTGCACTTGATTACAGCTCCTCCTCAGATGTCGCTCAATGGGGCTCTTGCATTAGACCTCACCATAGGAGATCATTAAATCAATGCTTTTGTGTGGGGAAATAGCGGACGCTGGATGCGAGGACGTCCAGCGTCAGTTACTGGATCAAACGTCTGTTAGCAGCCAGGACGTCCAGCGTCAGTTTCTGGATCAAACGTCTGTTAACAGCCAGGACGTCCAGCGTCAGTTTCTGGATCAAACGTCTGTTAACAGCCAGGACGTCCAGCGTCAGTTACTGGATCAAACGTCTGTTAACAGCCAGGACGTCCAGCGTCAGTTACTGGATCAAACGTCTGTTAGCAGCCAGGACGTCCAGCGTCAGTTACTGGATCAAACGTCTGTTAGCAGCCAGGACGTCCAGCATCAGTTACTGGATCAAACGTCTGTTAGCAGCCATTAAAGCACTACGGAATATAAATGGCAATAATATTATAATTATAATTAAGCGCCTCCAGCCACTGTGGGCATGTCTTCCATTTTATTCTGATAAAACTTCTGAGTGCCTCCAACAGTTTCTACTGTCCTATATGACCGAACGTTTTACGATTATATTATGAATAAAAAAAATTGGTTTAGATATTCTTGCGTGGCTGGACGCAGTACTCCATTTTGGCCATCTGAGTTACCAAAGGCATCCATTGATGGGTTATATAGAGGAATATAATTGGTTATGGCCATCAGCTTTTCATTTATATTTTATAGCCTTGTCTCAAAGTTCTTCCTTGTAAATCAGACTGTGGTGGCAATTCTGGGATATCAGCTGCTTCTGGTATTAAATTAGGATCACTCCTAGTAATTACACAGTTTCACTATTTCCAGGTTTACAAAAAAAAAATAAACATTTTCTTCCAAGTCACACACTTGCCTGAAATCTATTACATCTCCAGATTTCTCTGGAGAAAATCACGTTAAAGGTTAATACAAATTTGAAAACATTTCTAATCTTTGGTTTCTTTTTATTTATATACAATTTATCAATTATTGCATTTCCTGCTTTACGTTAATTACACAATTCACAATCTGGATAGCTGCTATTAAAGGCAAACTGCCATTTACTTTCCTGTGCAATATCAGTAATGAAGTCCATTATTGCTCACCAGACCAGACGCTTTAATATACGTCACTCATACAGCTGCGCTCAGTGGATTTTGTCTTGTGCCGTTTCCCAATCGCCGCCATGTGCTTGCTTGTAGAATTCACGTTGTAACTTGTGCTTTTTTTCTTAGTAACTCGGTTGCAGAAAATAACCTTAAACAGACTTTCTGGTTGAAAAAAATCTTTCTGACAAACACATTTCTTTTCTAGATTCAAACTTTAATTCAAGCGCATTGCAAAGGAGTCATTTAATCTCTCCTCTCTTTCTCTTTCGCCCCTTTTGAAGTGTGAAAAGATCTGAAGCCTAGCTAGGAGCTCCAAATATAATAAATATATTGTATGGACAAACCTATTGGGACTCGCCTCTTAATAATTGAATTCAGGTGTTTCAATCAGACCCTTTGCCACAGGTGTATGAAATGAAGCGCCGAGCCATGCAGTCTGCATTTACAAACATAGCCAAGAATTGGGGGCTCACCCGGAACATGCATTTTGCAGGAATGGTGCCGCCGTCGTGACCAAAATTCGAACATAATACAGAATAAGGAACAGCGCACACTGAAGACACATTTTCACATTTTATAAAGCTATTTAAAATCACCTATCACAGCGAACAAATATTGGGATTCATTTACGCTATATATAATTAATAATGAATGCGATAAACACAATTTTAAAAATGCTGTGTCAAAAACTAACTAGTAAAGTGGTAGGGCTATGATGTATACACAATGCCATCGTATATCTGCTCTATAAAAATTATAATTAAAGTGACATTATTATTCAAAACCTCCTCAAATACATACCGGTGGTCACCTCCTCGTGGCCCCTGAAGCTGGGGGGCTGGGTGGGGTGCTTAACCCCAAAGGGAATCAGGTCTGGATTCCAAGCTGTGATAGTTGCAAAAGGGGGACAGACTACATAGTGATGTATTTAGAATGCAATGTCATAGAAGTCCCTGTTGGTGTCATTGTTCCAATACTTTGCCCTTAGTATATGTATGGGCGATTGGAGTAAGTCTTTTTATGTATATATCTTCTTATATTAATGACGTAACATTGTTAAGCTGTGCCATCTGTTAACATGTTTACGTATGTATTGCTGTTTGCATTGTGAATAAAATAAAGGTTGGCTTTTTTTTTTTGTAAAAATCAAATTGCGTATTAATATTTTTAGTAATAAACCTGCCATCTTGGTTAACCGTGAAAGCATTAGTATGTGTAATTCCTCCATGGCGGTTTTTAATTTTGTTGCTTACTGGTTTTAGCTTAGTAAAGGATTGCTCTGGCATTATAAGGAATTTTATAAAAATGCAAACTTATAAACTCCCACAACTCCAGGACGGCAGCAACGACCATAGTACACATCAGCCCTAATACATAAAATAAAAACCAAAGAAAAGAGTTACTTGCGGACTATCCCTCATCCCCTCCGCACATTTCAATAAGTGGAGGGATTTTAGTATCACTCCAATGGCTATTAGATTGTAAGCTCCTCTGCCACTTCAAGGCAAACCTCTTAGGAGAGTCCTACACTAACAATTCACCTTACTTCTTTCAACTTCAGGTAAAAAATCGTTTAATGAGACAGAATGCCTCTACATACTTATTAACCCTCGATATGGAACATGTGAGGTTCCTATTAAGAAGGCCAGGCTGACAAACCTTTTCTTTGGGCAACCTGCCAACTATCCAAGTGGGCTGGCCCATTTTGGACTTTACCAGTGGTGCAAGTGATGTTAGTGGCATGTCCCCATGGGCCTGTCCTCCCCAGTCCTTCTTTATCACCCATGAGGATGACCGTTACAGTGTTAATAAATGCTGGCACATCATGCACCCACTTGGGGCAATTAATCAGATGGGAATGATGAAAAAATCGTGACAGAGAATTTTCTAGTTTGATTATTTTGGACTGATTTTGCAGTTGTCTTGTTATTTCTTGACAATACTCAAGTTTAGTGAATAAACCCCAAATTGGCTTAAAGTACCTCTGCACCAGTATCCCCACTTTGCATGAAGCCTGGCCAGGTACCTGACTACAGGTAGGAGTAGGTAAGTGGGACGTGCAACCTACCAGATACCTGACTACAGGTAGGAGCAGGTAAGTGGGATGTGCGACCTACCAGGTACCTGACTACAGGTAGGAGCAGGTAAGTGGGATGTGCGACCTACCAGGTACCTGACTACAGGTAGGAGCAGGTAAGTGTGACCTATCAGGTACCTGACTACAGGTAGGAGCAGGTAAGTGGGATGTGCGACCTACCAGGTACCTGACTACAGGTAGGAGCAGGTAAGTGGGATGTGTGACCTACCAGGTACCTGACTACAGGTACATGGGACGTGTGACCTACCAGGTACTTGACTACAGGTAGGAGCAGGTAAGTGGCATGTGTGACCTACCAGGTACCTGACTACATGTAGGAGCGGGTAAGTGGGACATGTGACCTACCAGGTACCTGACTACAGGTAGGAACAGGTAAGTGGGACGTGTGACCTACCAGATACCTGACTACAAGTAGAAGCAGGTAAGTGGGACGTGTGACCTACCAGGTACCTGACTACAGGTACTTGGGACGTGTGACCTACCAGGTACTTGACTACAGGTAGGAGCAGGTAAGTGGCATGTGTGACCTACCAGGTACCTGACTACATGTAGGAGCGGGTAAGTGTGACCTATCAGGTACCTGACTACAGGTAGGAGCAGGTAAGTGGGACGTGTGACATACCCTGCACTGTTTTTTCAATCTCCATTTGACCTACATTTTAAATAGTTTCCCACTGCCCCCCCATCCATTCGTTTCCTTCTCGTCCTTTTACAAATCCGCTCTCACCACAAACTTTATTTCCTAGCTAAACAGACCTGTTTCAAATATTTTTTCCGTTGCTATGGTTATGATCCTATTTTGGGCGTGGATGCTGTCATGTCCTGGTAGGGTGTGTCGTGGCCAGAGACCGCAGGGAGGAGCGTCAAAACACTCGCTGCCGGGATCTGTCCATTAATAGTGCACGTGAGACAGCTGTCTGTGCTTGTCTGTCATTCAATATTGGGCCCCAACGCCTCTCTCCCTGTCACATGTTAATCCTAGCAGATCCCACTTTAACAGGCGGCTCAGAACAGTCTGTGTGTAAAGCCTGTCACTCACAATGATATCCATCTCTTCACTTTACTAAACTTTGAACTATGGCGAATTGACAAAAGAACGAGAAATTACAGGCAAAAACAGTCATGTTAAAAACACAAGAAATTATTAGCTGCATTCCTTCTTATTTGGCCTAAGAAATACACAATTACCCTTTTATTTACTTAACCCCCTGGCATTTGCAATGTCTTTACTTTGAATGTAGTTCTGGTAGCATATGAGAACCTGCCCTGCCAACTGGGCAACCTGGGGGCTACGCAAGGGTCTTGGCATGTAGTATAATGGGACCAGAGCCGGTCTATGGTTACTTGCCAGGCATATTGGGACTGAAATAATGAGAGAAGGGGTACTCACCAGAGTTATTATTACTATGGTGGAGTGGTAAGGAAGGGGGTCTGCCCAGAGTATTTTTTACTGTGCTGGGGTGGTAAGGAAGGTATATTTTGGATTGGGGGCCCCTGAAAAAAGGAAGGGGGGCTGCCCAGAGTATTTTATAGCTTATAGCTGCAGTTATAACACACTGTGTGCTGGGAGACAGGGAACCTCCTTAAACCATAACCTTATAGCTGCAGTTATAATACACTGTGTGCGGGGAGACAGGGGACCTCCTTACACCATAACCTTATAGTTGCAGTTATAATACACTGTGTATGGAGACAGGGGACCTCCTTACACCATAACCTTATAGCTGCAGTTATAATACACTGTGTGTGGGGAGACAGGGGACCTCCTTACACCATAATCTTATAGCTGCAGTTATAATTCACTGCGTGCGGGGAGACAGGGGACCTCCTTACACCATAACCTTATAACTGCAGTTATAATACACTGTGTGCTGGGAGACAGGGGACCTCCTTACACCATAACCTTATAGCTGCAGTTATAATACACTGTGTGCGGGGAGACAGGGGACCTCCTTACACCATAAACTTATAGCTGCAGTTATAATACACTGTGTGCGGGGAGACAGGGGACCTCCTTACACCATAACCTTATAGCTGCAGTTATAATACACTGTGTGCGGGGAGACAGGAGACCTCCTTACACCATAACCTTATAGCTGCAGTTATAATACACTGTGTGCGGGGAGACAAGGGACCTCCTTACACCATAACCTTATAGCTGCAGTTATACTACACTGTGTGCGGCGAGACAGGGGACCTCATTACACCATAACCTTATAGCTACAATTATAATACACTGTGTGCTGGGAGACAGGGGGCATCCTTACACCATAACCTTATAGCTACAATTATAATACACTGTGTGCGGGGAGACAGGGGGCATCCTTACACCATAACCTTATAGCTGCAGTTATAATACACTGTGTGCGGGGAGACCTTATAGCTACAATTATAATACACTGTGTGCGGGGAGACAGGGGACCTCCTTACACCATAACCTTATAGCTGCAGTTACAATACACTGTGTGCGGGGAGACAGGGGACCTCCTTACACCATAACCTTATAGCTGCAGTTATAATACACTGTGTGCGGGGAGACAGGGGACCTCCTTACACCATAACCTTATAGCTGCAGTTACAATACACTGTGTGCGGGGAGACAGGAGACCTCCTTACACCATAACCTTATAGCTGCAGGTACAATACACTGTGTGCGTGGAGACAGGGGACCTCCTTACACCATAACCTTATAGCTGCAGTTATAATACACTGTGTGCGGGGAGACAGGGGACCTCCTTACACCATAACCTGATAGCTGCAGTTATAATACACTGTGTGCTGGGAGACAGGGGACCTCCTTACACCATAACCTTATAGCTGCAGTTATAATACACTGTGTGCGGGGAGACAGGGGACCTCCTTACACCATAACCTTATAGCTGCAGTTATAATACACTGTGTGGGAGACAGGGGACCTCCTTACACCATAACCTTATAGCTGCAGTTATAATACACTGTGTGCGGGGAGACAGGAGACCTCCTTACACCATAACCTTATAGCTGCAGTTATAATACACTGTGTGCGGGGAGACAGGGGACCTCCTTACACCATAACCTTATAGCTGCAGTTATAATACACTGTGTGCGGGGAGACAGGGGACCTCCTTACACCATAACCTTATAGCTGCAGTTATAATACACTGTGTGCGGGGAGACAGGGGACCTCCTTACACCATAACCTTATAGCTGCAGTTATAATACACTGTGTGCGGGGAGACAGGGGACCTCATTACACCATAACCTTATAGCTGCAGTTATAATACACTGTGTGCTGGGAGACAGGGGACCTCCTTACACCATAACCTTATAGCTGCAGTTATAATACACTGTGTGCGGGGAGACAGGGGACCTCCTTACACCATAACCTTATAGCTGCAGTTATAATACACTGTGTGCGGGGAGACAGGGGACCTCCTTACACCATAACCTTATAGCTGCAGTTATAATACACTGTGTGGGGAGACAGGGGACCTCCTTACACCATAACCTTATAGCTGCAGTTACAATACACTGTGTCCGGGGAGACAGGGGACTTCCTTACACCATAACCTTATAGCTGCAGTTATAATACACTGTGTGCGGGGAGACAGGGGATCTCCTTACACCATATCCTTATAGCTGCAGTTATAATACACTGTGTGCGGGGAGACAGGGGACCTCCTTACACCATAACCTTATAGCTGCAGATATAATACACTTGTGAGGGGAGACAGGGGACCTCCTTACACCATAACCTTATAGCTGCAGTTATAATACACTGTGTGAGGGGAGACAGGGGACCTCCTTACACCATAACCTTATAGCCTGTCTCCCTGCACACAGTGTATTAGAACTGCAGGTATAAGGTTATGGTGTAAGGCGGTCCCCTGTATAATACACTGTGTGTGGGGAGAACGGGGACCTCCTTACACCATAACCTTATAGCTGCAGTTGTAATACACTGTGTGCGGGGAGACAGGGGACCTTCTTACACCATAACCTTATAGCTGCAGTTGTAATACACTGTGTGCGGGGAGACAGGGAACCTCCTTACACCATAACCTTATAGCTGCAGTTATAATACACTGTGTGCAGGGAGCAGGGGGACCTCCTTACACCATAACCTTATAGCTGCAGTTATAATACACTGTGTGCGGGGAGACAGGGGACCTCCTTTCACCATAACCTTATAGCTGCAGTTATAATACACTGTGTGCTGGGAGACAGGGGACCTCCTTTCACTATAACCTTATAGCTGCAGTTATAATACACTGTGTGCGGGGAGACAGGGGACCTCCTTACACCATAACCTTATAGCTGCAGTTATAATACACTGTGTGCGGGGAGACAGGGGACCTCCTTACACCATAACCTTATAGCTGCAGTTATAATACACTGTGTGCGGGGAGACAGGGGACATCCTTACACCATAACCTTATAGCTGCAATTATAATACACAGTGTGCGGGGAGACAGGGGACCTCCTTACACCATAACTTATAGCTGCAGTTATAATACACTGTGTGCGGGGAGACAGGGGACCTCCTTACACCATAACCTTATAGCTGCTGCAGTTATAATGCACTGTGTGCGGGGAGACACGGGACCTCCTTACACCATAACCTTACAGCTGCAGTTATAATACACTGTGTGCAGGGAGACAGGGGACCTCCTTACACCATAACCTTATTGCTGCAGTTATAATACACTGTGTGCGGGGAGACAGGGGACCTCCTTACACCATAACCTTATAACTGCAGTTATAATACACTGTGTGCGGGGAGACAGGGGACCTCCTTACACCATAACCTTATAACTGCAGTTATAATACACTGTGTGCGGGGAGACAGGAGACCTCCTTACACCATAACCTTATAGCTGCAGTTATAATACCCTGTGTGCTGGGAGACAGGGGACCTCCTTACACCATAACCTTATAGCTACAGTTATAATACACTGTGTGCGGGGAGACAGAGGACCTCCTTACACCATAACCTTATAGCTGCAGTTATAATACACTGTGTGCGGGGAGACAGGGGACCTCCTTACACCATAACCTTATTGCTGCAGTTATAATACACTGTGTGCGGGGAGACAGGGGACCTCCTTACACCATAACCTTATAACTGCAGTTATAATACACTGTGTGCGGGGAGACAGGAGACCTCCTTACACCATAACCTTATAGCTGCAGTTATAATACACTGTGTGCGGGGAGACAGGAGACCTCCTTACACCATAACCTTATAGCTGCAGTTATAATACACTGTGTGCGGGGAGACAGGGGACCTCCTTACACCATAACCTTATAGCTGCAGTTATAATACACTGTGTGGGTAGACAGGGGACTTCCTTACACCATAACCTTATAGCTGCAGTTATAATACATGGTGTGCGGGGAGACTGGGGTCCTCCTTACACCATAACCTTATAGCTGCAGTTATAATACACTGTGTGTGTGGGAGACAGGGGACCTCCTTACACCATAACCTTATAGCTGCAGTTATAATACACTGTGTGCGGGGAGACAGGAGACCTCCTTACACCATAACCTTATAGCTGCAGTTATAATACACTGTGTGCGGGGAGACAGGGGACCTCCTTACACCATAACCTTATAGCTGCAGTTATAATACACTGTGTGCGGGGAGACAGGGGACCTCCTTACACCATAACCTTATAGCTGCAGTTATAATACACTGTGTGCGGGGAGACAGGAGACCTCCTTACACCATAACCTTATAGCTGCAGTTATAACACAGATTGTTATGTTCTGGTGTTATCCATTTAATGGCATAAAATGCATGTTTTTGTTTAAAATACAGATTGTAGATAAGATGTGCTAGGAAGAGTTCATTCTCTGTAGTCAGAGAACATTTTGACCTCCAGTAATACTTATTGCACTTTTTTAGCGCAGGTTTCTTTCTGATAACTCTCTCTAGTTAAGATACAATGATATAAAGGAATGTCCTGGTGTGAACTCCAGGAGATTCTCTCTGGCAAGTCTCCAGCTGCAGCTATAAAACATTTCATCATATCAGTGTTTAGTGTCTGACACAGTTTTTGTGGCTTATTTACTAAACAGGGATTCGTGGTGAGTTGGTAAAAATCAGCGCGGAGCCTTGGCTGCATTGGAGATTTCCAACTGGCTCTTCTTGTCGTCAGGTTTCCGATGACTGGTCAGTAACGTCCTCTGTCTGTCAGTTCCCTGGTACAGAAAGGGTTACAGTGGAGATTATTTACCAAAGATTATTAACCCTGGAGAAGGTTAGGGCACCATGCATCAGCACTATAAGTTTCATTTTGCCCTTCACCTAATTCATAAACCACGGGGAGCATAAATCTATGTGGGTTTTGTCTTTACATTACATTGCCTCTTCCATCTGCTGCTGAGAAACTATTATGATAATAAAATATAGAGAAAATAAGTACTTATTTGTAACTGCCCCATTGAATAAAATATTAAACATTTCCTGGAATTTTTGTTAACTTTCTATTTCAATGAGATGGTCTGTTTTCCTTAAAATGTATATAAAACCATTAGCCAATAGCATCGCAATCCAGTTCTGTTGAGGCACAGCCATGGCACACATTGCAAATGAGGAAGAGGGAGATCCTAAGGTGTCCTCGGTTTGTCCTTTGTCTGAGGTACAATAAAGTTGTTGCCCCGCATCTTCCCCTGTTGAGTGTGGAGCTATGAAGCGCTAAGCACATGTATTGTGTTCCTCTGGTATTGTGTGCACTTCCACAGTTACCGATGGCAGCAGGGTTTGGGCCCAGAAGGCATAATGGAAACCCATGGTGCAGACTATGCTTCGACGGAGATGAGAAGAACTATGAGTTCTTAGGACATCTGCGATTGATGAATCTCAAGAAAACCATCCTGAGTGAATGAGATAATACCGATGATCAGAATAGATAAACGTAGGAATGAGGAGGCTTATACTGAGCTAATTCAATTTTTAGATGATAAAAGTCTGTCTTTAATAATGAGGGAGACAGCTGATTCATAAAAGGAAAGCACTTTGAATACTAACAGATTATTATGCAGGCAACTAAAAAGCCCAGAATGGTCAGTTTATTTACTAAGTTAAAGAGACATTCCAGACCCTAAAAGCAAAAGTGTGTCCTCTTTTTTTACTTTTACAAAATATTTCAATAGAAATTGACACTTTTATAAATTATACTGGTTACACCCCCCTGGCTGTCAATCAGACGACAGGTCCTGTTACTTCCTGGTTTGGTTAATCTTTTTGCACTGTACTGAAGAGCAGAAATTGCCCAGAGCACGTGGCTTGCAAAATCTTCTCATTGAGTTGCATGGGAAGTCTGGGATTGGACAGCCACAGAAAGTCTGGGCAGGGTTTGAAGGGGAGAACTTGTTAAGGCTGCAGACAAGAGATCTGCAGCTTTTGCAAACTGTTTAAAATATATTCACAAATAAAACATGCTTAATTTGATGCATATGCATATTTTCAGTTGGGGTATTAGTGCCTTCTAAACAGCATTCCAGGCCCCCAGGCAAAGCAGTGCACTGGGGCCCTGATTACACAACCATTCACAGAATTAAGCTGATATGTATTGGTACCTCCAACAAAATCAATGTTTAAACATTAGAAAAGCATGCCGTACAGCAGAGATTAAATGTTTAGTAGGTAGCAGGGGGAGGCAACAGACATGGATTGTTAAAAATATTAGGACAACGTTATTATAGCTTTATGGCTTCAGCATATAATGTGAGCTGATTTTGCCTTGCTTATGTACAATTAGTACGTGTACGTTGTTGCCATAGATACAATTGTGACTGACTATCTTATAGGTGCATACAAAAACATTATTTGTGGAAAAAAACGTACACTATTTAGTTGTGGTGCAGCTAGAGTCTAAAATGTTCAAGGTTTACAAATTATGCAACAATATAGCTCTGCACACAAGTAACCTTTCAAGTCTATTTTAAAAACATCTATCTCATATTCTAAATATGGGGTCCTAACCTACATTTGACAATTTGGAAGGGGTTTTACCGAAGGTCTGGAGGCTTCAGCGGTGTTCGCCTGTTTGAGTGTCCGTTTTCAGTTCCAGACATTCAATGGCAAACACCGCTGTTCGGGAGCTAAAATGGCCGCGAACACGAGGAAGTCCCGAAATGGCGGCATACACAGTTAAAAAAAAGGCATTTCTTCACAGACTAAATCCCCATTTGTTGTATATGAGATAGATCAGCGGTTGCCAAACTGGGGTGCCGCGGAATGTATGGTTATAGCACAGGGGATACATTACTGCTGAACATGGGCCCGGTTGGGTGCCGCGGTCTGTGAAGAAATGCCTTTTTTTTAACTGTGTATGCCGCCATTTCGGGACTTCCTCGTGTTCGCGGCCATTTTAGCTCCCGAACAGCGGTGTTTGCCATTGAATGTCTGGAACTGAAAACGGACACTCAAACAGGCGAACACCGCTGAAGCCTCCAGACCTTCAGTAAAACCCCTTCCAAACTACCGAACGACCGGGCGTTCGGTAGAAAGACTTACCAACAGATGGGGAATTCAGCGAACCAAGGGAGGTTTTTCATGCGATCTAAGACCGACTGCAGGGCCAGAATTCATGGAACTGTTTTCGGCTACTTTGCCCGTGCAGTCGGTCAAAACTTCTAAGTCCTATATCTCCCGAACGGCTGAATCGAATGGCCTGAGATTTTAATATGTTGGTCCTTGGGGTACATCCAAACTTTGGGGAATTTCTGGTACGTTTGTAATGTCGGCCGGCTGGGAGGAAGTGTGTCAAGGTTAATACCCCCCAACACGCAAACCAGAGAACAATAAAGGCGAACACAGATAGACGTATTACCGGACCTTAAAGTGGCCGGACTTAACTTAGGAATGAGAGATAAGAATAGTCAAACACGCCAAGGTCAGGAATACAGAGATACGGGAAAACGAAATAGACAGAGCCAAGGTCAGGGAGCCAGAAATAAGAATAACCAATAAACAAGCCGAAGTCAGGAACCAGAGAAAAGACAACTACTCAGAACGCACTCTCGGGCTATAATAAACCACGACAGGGCAAGGAAGTGATGTAAGAAGGAGGTTAATATAGGGCAAGGTGAATACTGATAGGCAGGGACAGAATTGAAGGAGGTATAAATAGATAGTGGCAATAGGCCACTATCTTTTTAAATTTGGAGTCCACGTCATCCCTGCCGGTTACCTTGTGCGCGCGCGCACGTCCCCGGGCGCTCTCCCAGATGCGCGAGCGCCCCCGGAGGCGCACGTGGGCGATGCCCGCCAGCGATCCACACCGCCTGAGATGAGAGGACGGACGGCGGGACACCAGGTATGACAAAGTGACAGCCACAGCATCACGCAGGGAGAAAGTTTAGGAGGGAGGCAGCCGCGACAGGAGAGGAGCACTAGGAGCTGCTCCAGACTCACACCAGCCAGCAGGACTCCAAGTCACCCTCCTGGACACATAAGGTAGATAACAGGAGGGTGCCTGGGGATATAAAGAAATATGACTTGTGTGTGTGTATAGTGTGAGTGTGTGTGTGTGTGTGTGTGTGTGTGTGTGTATGTGTGTGAGTGTGAGTGAGTGTGTGTACAAGTATGAATGTGAGTATGTCTATAAATGTGAGTATGTGTATTAGTGTGTGTTTGTGTATATGTTTATATATGTGTGAGTGTGTGCGTCAGGGTGTGCTTCTGTTTCAGTGTGTGTGTGTGTCTGTGTGTGTGCACAGATTTGTGTATGTGCATCTGTGTGTTAGGGTGTGTTTTCTATGTCAGTGTGTATCTATGTGTGTGTGTATGTGTCGATGTGTATCTATGTATGTGTCGGCATCTAAATGAATGTGTATGTGTCGGTGTGTATATATATATATATATATATATATATATATATATATCTGTGTGTTAATGTTTATGAAAATCGGTGTGTGTTTGTATGTTTGTATGTGGTAGTGTATGTGCATGCATCCAAGCAGTCATACATCAGCACAACATACAAGCACACTCCTGCAATCTAACACAAATATTACATACAAACACACCCCTGCATTCAACCTCCCCCAAAATATACAAACATACATGTAACGGAGCTCCCTGTACCCCTGGCTGGGTACCTCTGCCAAGGACCACTTCCTAGCTAGAACAGGGGACAAACCTCAGCACTCTTGCCCTCAGTCGCCGTGGCTTGACTGGGGCCCTGGAACTGCTCCCTCCAGGAGCCGTAGGGGGAATTCGCTCTAGACACTCCCAGGCACTGGACGATACTCAGTCCTGGGTGCTCTAGTCCTTACAAGGACTTTCCCTGTTGAATCCTCCACACTGGAACAGTGATTAAAGAATAGCCCTTTCCCCTCCCAGTAGCCAGACGACACATAGTTCTGGGAGTACAAGCTGGAATACCTCTAATAGCAGCCACAACTGGCCTTATATGCATGTCCCCATGCAAGGGGCACTCCCTCTGGACCTGAGAGTGAACCACAGTCAAAACAAATACCCAATTACATTGGCTCTCAGATCCAGGACACTCCCATACATAATCAGATAATCCCTCCTCTGTGCCTGGGAGATAATTGGATCAGGAACTGTACTAATCTAATCCAATTATCTCCAAGCACAAAAAAAACATACTTTTTCAAAACACCCCAAAAAATACATAAAACTCCACAAATGTTCCATCCCCTGATAGCCATGATCTGGGTGACTAACATATCCAAAAATCACCCAGATAAGTTCAGGGGTTCAGGAATTTCCTGGAAGTCATTTGTTTGAAAACGAACAAATTACTGAACAGAGTCAATAGTCTTACCCTGGAGCTTGTTCTTCTCATCCAGACGAATGATTTCACCAAACAATGCCCTTCTATGTTGTGAAGAAACGAACGCAGGCGATGATGGTAGTCCAGCGGTGTTCGGGAGTTTCTGTGTTCGATTTTAGTTACATGAGATTCATGCCCAAACACCGCTGCCTGCGTTCATGCGAACAAGATGGCCGCCAACTCTGGTTTTCCATAGGCCACCCAGACGAACAATTAGAACACTGCGGTGAGAAACGTACCAAGTTGTTAATAGGTGTTAACAAGCTCCAGGGTGGTCTCTGGTTTGTGCGGTTGTTCGGTAACCGAACCATATAATCCCAATTGCACGAATGGAGACTTTTATATCACATTAATTAAGGTCCATAGTCTATGGGCAGGAGGCTGGCGAGCAGGCTCCTCCAGGAACTCATGACAAACTCACTTGGACAGGTGAGTTTGTCACAGTGGCACTGGGCAGCAATGTAAATACGGTTTTCAAAAAAGGCAACATTTACACTGCTTAGCCTGCAGGGGGCAGGATATACCCGAGGAGCACTCAGTCCACATTCAGCTGATCCAGTTGCAATAAGCAAGATAGCCTTCTGGACAAATTTATCTGTCCTCCCCTGATTTCTCACCACCCCTCTTGACTTGTGTCTCTGACTGCCTCTCTGCTATTTCCAACTGGAAGGATGCTCATTTCCTTAAACTGAACCTGTTCAAAACAGAACTTCTGCTCTTCCCTCCCTCAAGAGTTACTGCTCCCTTGTCTGTGTCCCTCCAAGTCAATGGCGCTACCATCACCTCTACCTCTAAGGCTTGCTGCCTAGGTGTTCTCTTTGACTCCGACCTCTCCTTCACCCCTCATGTCCAATCAATCGCCAAATCCTGTTGCTTCCATCTCAAAAACATTGTGTGCATCCAACCCTAGTTAACACCTGAAACAGCAAAGGTGCTTGTCCATGCTGCTGTCCTCTCTCACCTTAACTACTGTAATCTGCTTCTCAGTGGTCTTACGTGTTCCCAACTTGCTCTGTTACAGTCTATAATGAATGCGACAGCGAGGCTCATCTTCCTGTCCGTCCGCACCTTCCACGCCTCCCTCTTTGTCAGTCCCTCCATTGGCTTCCCATAAGATATAGGGCTCAATTTAAGATCCTGACACTTGCTTACAAATCTCTACACAATGCTGCCCCCACCTACCTATCCTCACTAATACACAAATATGACCCATCTAGGCCCTTACGTTGTGCCGGAGACCTACGTCTAACCTCTGCACATACTCCTACCTCTGATGCTCGCCTTAAAGACTTCTGTAGCGCTGCACCGTTCCTATGGATTGCCCTTTCACCCAATGTCCACTCTTCAAACAGATTTTGAAAACTTACTTCTTTAGGAAAGCATATCAATTAAACTGTGAACAGCTTTTCCTTCCGGCACCCAGATTCCTCTCCTGAACCTGTCATCAAAACAAAACACTAAGCCCTCAATAAATACTATTCTACCAACCCACTTTTCTACCCTACCCTTACCTTTTGTGTCACTATACCCCACTCCCTCTAGCATGTAAGCTCACTGAGCAGGGCCCTCAATCCCTCTGTTACTGTGTCACTATATCCCAATCCCTCTAACATGTAAGCTCACTGAGCAGGCTCTCAATCCCTCTGTTACTGTGTCACTATACCCCACTCCATCTAATATGTAAACTCACTGAGCAGGGCCTCAATCCCTCTGTTACTGTCACTATACCCCACTCCCTCTAGCATGTAAGCTCACTGAGCAGGGCCCTCAATCCCTCTGTTCCTGTGTCACTATACCCCACACCCTCTAACATGTAAACTCACTGAGCAGGGCCCTCAATCCCTCTGTTCCTGTGTCACTATACCCCACTCCCTCTACCATGTAAACTCACTGAGCAGGGCCCTCAATCCCTCTGTTCCTGTGTCACTATACCCCACTCCCTCTAACATGTAAACTCACTGAGCAGGCCCTCAATCCCTCTGTTACTGGGTCACTATACCCCACTCCCTCTAACATGTAAGCTCACTGAGCAGGCCCTCAATCCCTCTGTTACTGTGTCACTATACCCCACTCCCTCTAACATGTAAACTCACTGAGCAGGGCCTCAATCCCTCTGTTACTGTGTCACTATACCCCACTCCCTCTAACATGTAAACTCACTGAGCAGGGCCCTCAATCCCTCTGTTACGGTGTCACTATACCCCACTCCCTCTAGCATGTAAGCTCATTGAGCAGGGCCCTCAATCCCTCTGTTCCTGTGTGTCCAATTCGTCTGGTTACAAATACGTGTCTGTTAGTCCACCCATTGTACAGCGCTACGGAACTTGTTGGCACTTTATAAATAATTATAATAATAATTAAGCTGCAGTGGTTCTGGCGCCTATAATGTCTCTTTAACGTTTCATTAGCTATTGGATTAGCAATTGGGCAAGGTTTCTCTTTAAAGTGCTAGAATTTTACATCAGTCTACTTTTTTATGAATGAGATGACGTGCTAGGTTAAGTATGTGTGTGTGACATTTGATGGATTTGTGAGCACACACACACGTCTTATATTCTTATATTCCTCGCCCATAGACTTCAATTCTTCCAGTGAAAACAATGGGACATCAAGAATTAAATACATCAAATGGGGCAAACCCAGACGGGCCATGACTTGTAACGGACTTGTAGGGTTTATCAACTCTGACGACACACTTATACTATACACCGACCTGTTACTCATTATACTTCATTACATTTGTAGCCTCACAAAGAACAGCACAGAACGCTTGAAATCGCTTCCAATTAAATAATAAATCGTTTTATAAATACACACAGCGAGAGCCATGAGTAAACATGTCCTACCTCCGTACAATCAATCATTTTCTTCGAAAGAAAACAGACTAATTCAAAGACAGATATCATGGGATTGCAGTGATTGAAATCATCCTGAAGAAAACTCACTGTGCTTGGAAAGAATTAACACACTAACCCCCCTGCTCTTGGATCAAAGATTTGTAGACGATGTTAATGTGAAAATTCACCAGGCAAAGAAATGATAGGCAAGCAATGAGCGCAGGGATGAAGTATAGATCGGACAATGCGTATTGCATGTAAATTCCAGAATTTACTCATGACTGCTGACCCATCTCTCCCTACTTTCCGTTGCCCCCAATAAGACGCCAAACACCTTTTCTGTGGATAAGGGCAATGGCCAAAGCTTTATGAAACCTGACAGCTGTTGGGCGGTTAACCCAACAGACAGTTCTCCAACCTCTTTTCCCAAGAGCCTCAACAGCCAGCACTTCCCATCAGCCCTTGTGCGGGCGGTCATCCCCCAATTAGACTCCACGTCTCCCTCCTTTTTTCCCAGTTGTGCTGTCCATGAATCCAACAAACTCAAGGGTGGAAAATGCAGCAAGGTTCCCTCAAACGGTTTTGCTGACTGGTAAATCTCCTCCCTCCTTCTCTCCATGAAACCTCTTGAATTTGCAACATAAGTATCCATTTTACATCCAGTCCAAAATACATGGGCAGCAATCGTGCCCCCTTTCCCAAATTGTCCGGGGGGAAACTTTTTCAAAGTCGCAAATTTACAATTTCAAAGTATAGTATAACATACCAAGATAATACTATCAATTTTTTCTACAGATACTGTTGTATACAGCTGAATAGGAAAAACCATGTAAATAGGTTTACACTCCTAGCAGTCAAACTGGAACAGCATACAATAAATCCTCCCCCAATAATAAGACGACACTTCACTTTGAGGGTTAAGCAGGAACTGACTGGACTGGCACATACAGCCTCTTTTATTCCCAATCCACAAACTTAGTACTGCCCACAGGGTTTTACAGAACAACCAATAACACACGTACATTACAGAGACACTCCCACACAAAATCCTCCCCTCTGCCTGTGATACAATTACCTTACACAATGGGTAATCTAATTATCACAGACAGAGAAATACAGTTTCATAAAGCACATCACAGGGACCCCAAAACATGCAATAACCCCATAAAGTATATCCTTGGAACCGGGGGATCTGGGTGAACCACATATCCAAAATTCACCCAGATCCGTTCAGTACTTTGGAAGATACAGTTTAATGCAGATTCTGCAGAACATATACAGGCTAAATGAAAAACAATCACTGTATAATGTGTCCCCTGCTGTATAGTCCAAAACCACTGCACAATGTCTCTGTGCAACAAATACTGGCGAGATGGCACCGTGTTGAAAAGTCCAAACAGTGTCTGTGAGTTAAAATGGCCGCCATCCATTGTTCTCACCATGTTCTTCATCCATTGTTCTCACCATGTGCCTCTGATACAGGAAATGGTGGCCACCCAGTAACTCCACAGTATGTCCCCAGATGGTTCTTAAAGGGCCAGCAGCAGCACAACACAAATCCATTATGCCCAAATCATGTCTTTAACGGGCAATACATCCCAGGGTCCATAGTCACATGGCAGGAGGCTGGCAATCAGTCTTCTCCAATGCCCAGTGG